TTTCTTGCAATGACTCAGTATAGCCCAGGGTGTTTGTCAAGCAATGGCTGAGAAAACCTTTTCCCCCTAGTGTTTTCATGAGTCCTGTGGATTAGCTCAGCGGTGAGAAATGCCACCTGGTGGTTGTAGGACTCTTGTTTTCCTCACTGTTCTCAGTGCTTTTCTCCTCTTTCCAGTTGCGATTACACTGGGACAGCTGTTGCAGCTTCGTACCATACGATTTCAGTAAGTTTAAAAATCGCAAAGAAATCACTAAACCACTTGGCATAAAGATTTGCATTCGGAGAGGATCAGACAACGTGTTTCAGAAAGAGCAGCGATGCAGAAAGCTCTGTATCAGTCTTAAGATTCTGTAAAATTCCAGTAAAACGTCCTGTGATATCCATGAGACGTGTTGATTCTTTCCGTTCCTGCTCCGCAGTCCTTTCCCACAGATAGCAAGTAGAGACACGACTTGAATAATGTGAATGATGACTTCTTGAAATGAGTGAACGAATGAAGGCAGCATGAAATACCATGGAGTACGGAGTTAGAATTAGCAACATGACCCAAATTTAGAAACAGATGGAACAGTTACAGTTCTCTGAATGTGCGGATGCTGCACCGTTGAAGCCTGTGGTTGAACCATTCCTAGATTTGTAGTCACAAGGTTAATTTATAGTTTTTGCTGCTTTTAACAAAACTTGGTACTTATTTCCAAAGAGACTGAATTTTCCAACTTAAAGAGTAAGAGTTTCACGAATTAAGAACTTGATTTAACTAAGTGATGCTATAAGTTTATTGTCCAAATCAGTTTGCTCTTGAAAGTTAGAGATTGCGAGGTGTCCGTATTTATGCTGTGAGGACAGGATAAACTGGGAGTGTCCCTGGAAACCAGGATGTGTGATCATCTTTCCCCTAGCCAGCCTGTGTGTTATAGCCAGGCTTCACTCTAGTTTATAAGTTTTAAACGTCATAAGGCACCACAAACTTAGAAAAGATTCTTTTCATTTCTGAAGTGAATATAAATAACCATTGTTTCTTTAAGTTTAATATATGCCCTTACTTTATTCTGTTTTCTAGTTGTGGAAGCAGCATTCTTAACTGCAACCTTCTAGAATGTTGGGGGTGAAAGACTGCATTTATGTTGATTTTTCATCGCTTACGGGTCATGGACTTAGGGAGTTTCTAATGGCGAGGTGGGAATTTTTAAGTTAGAAGAGAGTCTGTCATCACATAACCCTCTACATCTCATATTTTAGTGAAGAAAACTCAGTCTAAAAGAAGCCCTTCCCAAAGTCAGTGGCAAATCTGGGAGTCATGCCCAGGCCTCTGGAATTCTTGTATAGAATTCTTTTCAGTGGTTGTGATAACATCAATAATAGTTAACACTTTTTTAATTTAAAGATTTTATATATTTATTTGAGAAAGAGAGTGTACAAGTGGGGAGGGGCAGGGAGAGGGAGAGAGAATCTGAAGTAGTGTATCCAATGGGGGGGCTTCATCTCACAATGCTGAGATCATGACCTGAGCCAAAACCAAGAGTCCCACGCTTAACTGACCGAGCCCCCCAGGCGCCCCAATAGTTGAAACTTTTCGAGTGCTTACAGTGTACCATGCATCATGCTCAGCAAGTTACACATTGTGTCATCATTCAGTCTTCACCATGACTTTATGAGATTGCTGTAATCGTTATCTCTTTACGTATGAGGAAACCAAAGCTTAGAGAGTGAAATCACCAGCTCAAAATCTCACATCTACTTAGCGACAAAGGTGGGTTTTGAACTCAGGCATCTGACTTTAAGCCAGTTATTTTTCACTACCATGCTGCTATTTTGCCTGATTTTTTTAACAATTTTTATTTTTTATTAACATTTAATGTATTATTAGCCCCAGGGGCACAGGTCTGTGAATCGCCAGGTTTACACACTTTACAGCATTGCCTGATTTTTAAAATTAATTTTTTTAAGAGCTATCCTGTTTCATGTTTATTTTATTTTCGTTAAGTACATTGCCTATCCACTCATACATTATACTGCTTAGAAAAACAAACCAAACCCTCTTGCTCTTTGTATCCTGAAAACCTTGGTTTTTCTCTGCATATGCAGTTAAACAAGGATGTTGTTAGTGCATTTATAAATTGTTTGAGTAAAGCACTTAGAGTGGTTAAAAAAAAAATGTTTTTGTGAGGGTATGTGCATGTCCTAAGAGCTTCTAATGTTTAAACTTTCCGTGTGTATGTATGTATATATATACCTGTGTGTGTGTGTATGTGTATATATATATATATATATATATATATATATATGTGTATAAGCTTGTTTACATAAACTAACTTCTCTATTAATTGGTCTATTTATAAGTTGTTAGGTAGGCATTCTCTAAATTCAGAGAACAGTCTGATTGAAAGCCAGAAATCAATGAAGTTAATTTGGGAATTTCATTTTTAAATAATGAAATTAAAAATTTTGAATAAATTTATTTATTTATTTATTTATTTATTTATTTTTAAAGATTTTATTTATTTATTTGACAGAGAGAGATCACAAGTAGATGGAGAGGCAGGCAGAGAGAGAGAGAGAGAGAGGGAAGCAGGCTCCCTGCTGAGCAGAGAGCCCGATGCGGGACTCGATCCCAGGAACCTGAGATCATGACCTGAGCCGAAGGCAGCGGCCTAACCCACTGAGCCACCCAGGCGCCCAAATAAATTTATTTAAATTGGGGTGCCTGGCTGGCTCAGGCTTGGATGTCTGCCTTCGGCTTGGGTCATGATCCCAGGGTTCTGAGATTGAGCCCTGCATCGGGCTCTCTGCTTGGCAGGGAGCCTGCTTCTTTCCCTCTCCCACTCCCCCTTCTCTCTCTCACTGTGTCACTCTCTCTGTCATATAAATAAATAAAATCTTTAAAAAACAATAGGGGTACCTCAGTGGTTCAGTTGTTAAGCATCTGCCTTCAACTCAGGTCATGATCCCAAGGTCCTGGGTTCTAGCCCCACATAGGGCTCCCTGCTTAGTGGGAAGCCAGCTTCTCCCTCTCCCACTCCCCCTGCTTGTGTTCACTCTCTCATTGTCTCTCTCTCTGTCAAGTAAATAAATAAAAAATCTTTTTTAAAAAATAAAGTATTTAAATAGTATTTAACAATTTAAGTAAGTGCACAGAATATAAAAGGATAGAGAATGCAAAAATGCCAATTACCTGGTCACATTGGTTCTGATACCTTTTTTTTCCATTAAAAAAAAACCTACTGCAGGGGTGCCTGGGTGGTTCAGTGGGTTAAAGCCTCAGCCTTCGGCTCGGGTCATGATCCCAGGGTCCTGGGATCAAGCCCCACATAGGGCTCGCCGCTTGGCGGGGAGCCTGCTTTCCCCTCTCTCTCTCTGCCTGCCTCTGTGCCTACTTGTGATCTCTGTCTGTCAAATAAATAAATAAAATCTTTAAAAAAAAAAACAACCTACTGCAAACCTAACTTTTTTACATGAGCTTTGAGATAATTTTTAATTCAGTAAAGCCATATTGATTGTAAAACTAGTTTATAGTGTTAGCAAATTGTATCTTGTTTTCCAAATTCTATAATTGCTTTTTGTATAGTTGCACCTAAATTTTCACTTCCATGGAAAATAATTGCTTAAACTGATTTATGAGGTAGGTACAGGGCATCTGGAGAGCTATTTTATGAGGATGTCCTTTAGTTTACTTGTAATAGACCACAAAAAGTATTTTAAGAAAGTGTATTCTTGGACATAGAATAGCTAATGATTTAGGAACAACTTGAAGACTTAGTCCCTTTTTTTCTGAATATAAGATAATAACAATTTATCATAATTCCCCATGATAATAGGAGCAAAAATAATGAATCGAGTTTCATGGGAGGTATGTCATTATCCTAGTTTAGAATTTCTGAATGATTACATATTCCTGTTTTTCCTAGTAACTGCCGTGTCTCCTGTTTTGGCTGCTAATCCAGTTAAGAAGTCTTTGCTAGACTGAAAATAGAACATGACTTGGTTGCTTAAGGAATCAGTTAATAATGGATGTTTTGTGTTATATGTTCTTATGTATAGTATGCCATGATTAACTTAGTAAACTTGACAGAGGTCATCAGGTTACTAAGAGCTTTGCTTCTACATCTGAGAAGCCATAAACCGGTATCTTTAATACAGAAGACAAAAAAAGACTTAACTGCTTTGTATTGTTAGATTTTCAGTGAACAAAAGGGTTTATAATTTGTGAATTATAGATTAATAAAAAATAAGGCAGGGGCGCCTGGGTGGCTCAGAGGGTTAAGCCGCTGCCTTCGGCTCAGGTCATGATCCCAGGGTCCTGGGATCGAGTCCTGCATGGGGCTCTCTGCTCAGCAGGGAGCCTGCTTCCCTCTCTCTCTCCCTCTGCCTGCCTCTCTGTCTATTTGTGATCTCTGTCTGTCAAATAAACAAATAAAATCTTAAAAAAAAATAAGGCATACCATATCCCTCATTTATATCAGCATTATTACTAATGTAATAAATGTTAAAAATAAAAATAGTGGAAAGTTAGATCGCTAATAAGTAGGTAGATTGTATTTAGAAATCTTATGGATTTAGTGTTTTATTTAAACCCTTTCTGATTTTTAAAAAGTAAGTATATTCCAGGGTGCATGGGTGGCTCAGCTGGTTAAGCATCTGACTCCTGATTTTGGCCCAGGTCATGATCTTAGGGTCCCTAGATCAAACCCTGCCTTGGATCTGCGCTGGGCAAGGAGCCCGCTTGAGGTTCTGTCTCCCAGTGTCCCTCTGCCCAACCCCTTCTGGTGTGTTCGCTTTCTCTCTTTCTCAAAAAAAAAAAAAAAAAAAAGTATTCCAAAGATGAGAAACAAGTAAGTAGGAAGTTTTCTTTTTCTTCTTTGAAAAAGAGTAATTTTAAAGTTGCATTTTAAACATTATTCCTCTTATAATTGTCATCCACTCTGTTTGTAAGAAGGCAGTAGAAATGTTGGGAATTAATGAGCGTTCTACTTTTTAAAAAATCCGTTTCATTTCATTCAGGTTCCGATTGTTGCACTTACTGCCACTGCAAGTTCTTCAATCCGGGAAGACATTGTGCGTTGCTTAAACCTGAAGAATCCTCAGATTACCTGTACTGGTTTTGATCGACCAAACTTGTATTTAGAAGTTGGGCGAAAAACAGGAAACATTGTTCAGGATCTTGTCCAATTTCTTACCCGAAAGACAAAGTGAGGATGTCATGTCGATAAATTTTGGTTAACTCTTTCCTTATTTTTTCTTTGTTTTATCAACGTATTTGCTTATTTATTTATTATTTCTTTCTAATGCATATTTAACATTTCACATTCTGCTTAGCTTTGGTTCAAGTCAAGTGTGATATATAATCAAGACAACAACTGAGAAAATAGCTTAATTTTGAAGGCAGAAAATAATTCTGGTATTTTGGTACTTCATGTCGTTGCTTGAACAGGATGTACACCTTTTCTTTTCTTTTTTTTTTTTTTTTAAAGTAAACTTTACGCCCAACATGGGGCTTGAACTCACAATCCTGAGATCAAGAGTCGCATATCCTACCTAATGAGCCAGCCAGGCACCCCTACACTCTTAATAATTGACAAGTATGGGGCGCCTGGGTGGCTCAGTGGGTTAAAGCCTCTGCCTTCGGCTCGGGTCGTGGTCCCAGGGTTCTGGGATCGAGCCCCGAGTCGGGCTCTCTGCTCAGCGGGGAACCTGTGTCCTCTCTCTCTCTGCCTGCCTCTCTGCCTACTTGTGATCTCTGTCAAATAAATAAATAAAATCTTAAAAAAAAAAACAACAGTTGGCAAGTAAACAGTAGAAACAACTGAGTCTTTTAACTGAATTTTCTTTAGCTCACTAATTATGTGACTAATTGAGTATTAGGGAATTTTAAAAGTCATCTTAATAATAAACATTTTTGAGCCCTTGTTATGTGCCAGGGACTATCCTAGGTGCTTTATATAAATGATCTGGTAATTCTTATAACTGCTTAGTAAGCTACATACTATTTTCATTTTACTGAAGAAGAAGCTGTCACTAGTACTTTTTCCTGTTTCTTTTGTTTGGAGGCATTTTATATGTATACTAAGAAGCTTTCCTTTGTTTTATCTCCCTGATCTGTTTTCTTGGTGAAAAGCTTATAACTGTCACGTTATGAAATGTGTTTTTAAATCAGAGTACATGAAAATAGGGTGCTTGGGTGGCTCAGTTGGTTTAAGTGACTGCCTTCGACTCAGGGCATGGTCCTGGAGTCCCAGGATCGAGTCCTACATCAGGCTCCCTTCTCAGTGGGGAGAGTGCTTCTCCCTCTGACCCTCCCTGATCTTGTGTTCTCTCTCTCTCATTTCTCTTTCTCAAATAAGTAAATAAATAAAATCTTAAAAAAAAATGAATACATGTGAATAATGTTTGACCTACCAGCACAAACACAAAACAAGTCTGGGCAAATAGTTTAAATAACATCAATAGTATTTTCCTGAAGGACTCCTGGGGTTCTTTAGGATGAATTTAAATGTAGGATTTTCTATTGGCATAATTGTACTATATTCAAATTAAAACAAGAAAGTAATGGCGGTGCCTGGCTGACTCTGACGGTAGAGCATGTGACTCTTGATCTTGGGATTGTGAGTTTGAGCCTCTCATCGGGTGTAAAGACTACTTAAAAACAAAATCTTAAAAAAATAAAAATAAAACAAGAAAGTAATGGCTGTATTGAGTATTTGCACAGCTCTGGTGATCTCTCTGAAGTGAGTACTCATTGTATTTCACTTCCCTTTATCCTAATCTTCGATCCTTTTCCGTCCATATTATTTTCAATCTCTGTGGCCTTCCCCTAATAACCTTCTCCTTTTTGAAACTGTTTACCTTTTTGTGTGTGTGACATTGTGACATTTTATCTTTCTGACTATATTGTCCTTTTATGTTTTCTTTTCACCATCTTTCATGTTAATTATACTAGTGGGGGGTCTCTTAGCCTAGACTGTTATCATGTCCCTTAATAGATCTCCCTCCTCCTCAGTGTTCCTTGCATTCTAGACACAGTTGTCAGATTCATCATCTGAAAGCACATCCCTGAGTCTTGGCATTCCTCTCTGGTGCCTCCCTCTTTCCTGTGGACTAACAGCAAGACTCCTTAGCCTAACATCCAAGACCATCTGAGATTTTTATATTTGTGACAGTGGTTTTTCCGAGATCAAAGCAAGAAAGATTTTGCACCCATTTTCATTCCTCCAAGAGTTATGGTAGCACCAACCACTGCGAGTCAGAATGCTTCCCGTAGACTTTAGGCAAATAGAAATTTTCCTCTTAACAAGCAATAATTAGATGAAGGGTAATTAAGACTTCAGAGTGTTGCCTTTTATTTCTATTTCTTCTCTTTATTTAATTTTGCCATTTTTTCCCTATTCATTGGGCCAACTTGTTTGTTAAATTCTGACCTTATTTGTTTTCTGTACTCATGATACATTGAAATTGAATAGACAAGCCTCTCTCATTCATCTAATTTGGTGGTTAGATGAAGATAGATTTCTTTCCTTGCAGGAAATTGTTGTGAGGAAATAACAATGTTTAGTAAACCACTTGGCGAAGTAATGAATCCTTTCGTAATAGAGATAAAATTTTATTCCTCTGATTTCTCTACTAAGTTCAGATGTTTGTGTATTTTCTACTTTTTTTAAATGTAAAACTCGATACATGGTCTTAGTATCAATTTGAACACTACAGAAACATGTCAGGTAAGAATACTTAGATCTTCCGGTTCTGTTCTTCATTTATCACTGTTCATAAATGATCACTATTTGGGCATTGAGCTTTATACCCTTCTTTTCTCTAACTGTGCTGTGCAGATATGCACTTCCAGTTTTTGTTGTTAACTTTATGCAGGAGTAGTTACAGAGTATTTCCATATTTTAGGCAATATTTTCCTTTGATTTGAAGTGTCTTTGCTAAGATACAGGTTAAAATCTTCGGTTATGAGAGATAGATGTGTTTCTCTTTCTCCCTTTAGTTCTATCAATTTTTGTTTCATGTGTTAAAGCTCTGTTAATTGGGGGCGCCTGGGTGGCTCATTGGGTTAAGGCCTCTGCCTTCGGCTCAGATCATAATCCCAGGGTCCTGGGATCGAGCCCCGCGTCGGGCTGTCTGCTCATCGGGGAGCCTGCTTCCTCCTCTCTCTCTGCCTGCCTCTCTGTCTACTTGTGATCTCTGTCTGTCAAATAAATAAATAAAACCTTTTAAAGAGACAAAAAAAGCTCTGTTAATTGGTACAGACACATTTAGGATTTTTATATCTTTAATAAATGGTAACTTTTATCATTATTAAGAAAAAGCATTTTTGCTATCTTTCTGCATAATGTGATTTTTTAAAATTAGGGCCCTAATATGTAGGATATTACAATGTTCACATTTTGGCGAACAATTTTTCTTCTTTGAGAAATGTTTTTAAAATGATGATAGTTTTGTGAGGGGCGCCTGGGGGGCTCCATCGGTGTAAGCTCTGACTCTTGGTTTTGGCTGTGGTCATGATCTCATGGGTTGTGGTGTCCAGCCCTCTGTCAGCCTCCGGGCTCAGCAGGGAGTCTGCTTGGGATTCTCTCCCTCTGTCCCTCCCACCACTTGTGCTCTCTTTTTCTCTCGCTCAAATACATAAATCTTAAAAAAAAAAAGATATTTTTGTGTATTAAAAAACTTTATAATTTTTCTCTTTTCCTTATCTGCTGGGACATTTTGTTATGGAAGCCCATTTGGTCACTGTAAAAAATTGCTTTGAGTAGATTATTTAGTAAAACCTGTAGAGTCAAATTATTGACTATTTTTTCCCCTTTTCAATGACTTTTGCCATAGTCCTTCTTAGAGGTTTTTAGATACAGTAATTTTTTGTTGTTTGCTTAATATTTTATAGTATGAATGTACATAATGATGAACATTTACTTTTCACTAATATAGTTCTGTTGTGAATATTTGTGTATATGTGTCTTTTGGCAGATATTTGTAAAATAAATTCCTAAAGTTGAAATTGTTTCAGAATATATGCATTAAAAATTAAAATTTTTCCCAAATCTAAAATAATACATTTTTAATATTGATTAAGTTGGCATAAATGAATATATTCATGTGAATGAATATATTGAGGCATTAAATGAATGTTCTTTGGAAACTATCCTTTGCATTTTTAATAAATAAGCACAGGATTCTAAAACAGACTTTCGAACAGATGTTGTCTATAGTAGTCCCAAGATTACTAGTAAATACTTCTTTGAACTACAAAAATGATCTTTAATATTACAAAAAAGTTACTGTTTTTCTAGTAAACATACATAGAAACTCAATTTTTTGATCATGAGAAAGAGTAAGACTATTCTCCTATGTAAATATTCACTTACCTTTCTTATGTAAATGAAGACTAATCCTTCATCTAGTGCTTTGCATTCTAAAAGTATGGAAATTGAATTTCCAGTAGCTTGTTAAGTTTTTATCAAAGCTTTTACTTAAATAAACTTGTCTCTGGTTTTAACTTTAATTTGAACAAAAGATGAGTCGAAGGTGTTTGGGATTTAATATAATTCATTTCCACATTTGACTTTCCATATTTTTATGTAATTAAATGTATCATTGTTTTTTATATGCTTTCTTTTTATAGTGTTTTACTGAAAAGAAAATTAATTAAAATTTAACAAATGAAATTTAAAGTTTTAAAAAGAAAGGGGAAATTAAATAAGATAATCTCAAACAGATTATTTATATATATATTTATATATTTATATGTTTTTGTTCTTTTGTTTGTGTTTGTTTGTTTATTTGATTTTAGTACCACCTGGGAATTTGAGGGTCCAACTATCATCTATTGTCCTTCCAGAAAAATGACAGAACAAGTTACAGCTGAACTTAAGAAACTGAACTTAGCCTGTGGAACATACCATGCAGGCCTGAGTGTTAAATCAAGGAGAGAGGTTCATCATAGTTTCATGAGAGATGAAATTCAGGTGTGAAGATCCATCATCATTACTCTCTATTCCCCATGGAAACCGATGTTTCTCTAATATTTATTTCCCATATCTTTCTCTTCTATCTTGTTTTCTCTTCTATCTTCTATCTTGTTGAGTATAAAGAAGTTTCTCTCAAAGGGAATTAATGTATAGTATGGGTGACAGGTGAACAGACCGTTGCAGGTGAGTACAAAAAGCAGGCTGCACATAGTGCTTAGGTACACAGAGGAAGGAATGCTCGCTGTTAAGGTAGCTTCTGTTGTGATGATCCAACCAGGAAGAAGCAGTTTGAGCACAGAATCTGAACAAGTAGGTGGAAGTTTGTCGGGTATGTGAGGCCAGTGCATGATGAGGGCAAAGGCCTTGGTTATGGAATTCCCAGGAAAGGGACTAGCATTTGCAAAGACACTGTGGTAGGAAAGTGCATACTGGGTTTAGGAAACTGGGAATAGTTTGGAATGGTTGGAGAGAAAGAGAGTGTGGAGTAGGATTGGTACAAAGTATAGGTTGAAAAGGCAGGGAAGAACTGTTAGAGACTCACAGGAAAAATGTTGAATGGGTTGGCTGGCCAGGTTATGGAGAAGGGCCTTAAAATTTGCAAAGAGGCAGGCTGGGATTGATGTAATAATGTACTTGTAGTTTTTCTAGACTACTTTAGACTTAGAATTTTTAATTTAAATTTTCATTTAATTTTTTAATTCATTTTTATCTATTAGGTAAGACAAATCGAAGTGGATTAATTCTTGTCAAAGTTGATATGAGAGAAAGAGATCCAAGAGACTTCCATTCTCCCAAGACAGTCCCTGGGGGTATTCTATAATTCTCAGAGCTCCACAGAATAGCGTTTGAAAACCATTATGACAGACTAATGTGTGTTTTTGAGCAAGATCATAGTATCATAGAGACATTAGATTAGCAGCCCTAAGCAGGATTGATTTGAAGAGGAAAGACTGAAGGAAGAAAGGGTATCAATGAAGTCACTGTGAAGTGTTCTAGCTGAGATTCCTGTAATGATTGAAATAATGTAATAATTCCAATCTGAAGTGATTGGAATCCTGGTTTAGTCGGTGTCATGCAGAATATTTAGGAGGACTTAAATTCAGACCATGTTGGAAGGTTTACAGCTTCATGCTGTCAGTATCCTATCCAAAGTCTGTTAATGCAAGCCTGTGGACTAGGCCTCCTCTGAAGTTAAGACGTGAACTTAACTTCTGCTTTGCATTTTCTGCTCAGAAGGTCTTCCATTTCCTTTCTGTCCAGTTCTGTAGTTGGTAATGATCCTCAAACCAACATTGTTCAAACAGCTTACCTCTAGTATGGTTCATATACACTATAAAGTTCACTATGCACTGTCATGCTATAATGCATACTTACCTAAAAGCATTCTTTTTCTTTCTCTTCTTTCTAAAGATAGGAACAGTTATCACAACTGCTTAGAATAGAGTTACCTAAATTCTAAAATGTTTATAGTTTTATTCTGTTATCTCAGGAATTTGAAAATTATCAGATAAAATTTATTGGCTGTTGCTTACTGAATCTTAACAATTGATGTTTGAGCCACTAACTGATGAGTGATTTCTTTCATCTTGATTTATTATTAATTACTCATTTAGGTAGAAGCATCTCTTACTGATATGAGAGATTATAAACTTTCTCTGTTATATTGTGAGGGGAGACTTCGTTGGATGCATCTGGTTTTGCTACCCACGTTCAGCTTCAGTGAAACATTGATGCTTTGAAATATGGCTTTAAAAACCTCACAGTGATCACCAATTATACCTAATATCTAGAAAGGTGTTATATGTATGTGCCACTGTATTTTCCCTTCCTGTGGCAGGATGCCAAAAAGTTTTATGCACATTAGGAAAATTAATAAATTAGTATTGATGCTGTCACCCTAGCGACATTAGGGGTCCTGTTGTATCTGACAACTGGCCTCAATGTACTCCTTCTTTGCTATTATAATAAATTGTAAGCTTCACATTTGCATCAAGAGTTCTCAGACACCTCCTCAAGATGATAAAAATACATTTCCTCATCTATATAGAATAGTCTGGTGCTCGTGGAATTGATTACTTGCCATTGAATATTTATTGAGTGCCTACTGAATGCATACATGCATAGAATTCTAGATGTTCACTCTCCTGTCTTTCTGAAGTTGATTTATACTTTGGTGTGGGCCTGAAAGTAGAGCTTACTTCCCAAGCTCTTCATATCTTGAGTTGACTGATGCTTAGAATCTTACTATTTTCTATTTTATAATTTTAGAAAAAAATTTTTTTTCTTACTATTCTTAACCATATCTAACCATATTCAGATGTAGATTTGCATTTTTAGACTGTGACCATTCATTCTTACTTTTAGTCCTGATTTTGTTACATGTTCTTTTGTATTTCATTTGCTTTTTTAAGGTCTCAAATTCTTTTCTTTCTGAGATGAGTCTGTGAATAAATTACTTGATAAAATACTTTATTTTCACTGGAGCGTTTATAATGGTATTTTGAACATCATGTCTGTAGAAGAGGGTGAAAAACAGTGTCATAAATGTGCCTGACTGGCTCAGTCAGTAGAGCATGCGACTCTTGATCTCGGAGTTGTAGATACCAAGCCCCATGTCAGGTGTAGAGATTACTTAAAAATAAAATCTTAAAAAAAAAACAAACCAGGATCATATGGTGAAAACTAGATCTTCCAAGTTCTCACCACACACACATACTACATACACACTTAAAAATGGTAACTATGGGAGGTAATGGATGTGATAAGTAACTTTATTACTTTATAAGTAATCATTTCACAGTGTATACATATATCAAATTATCAGATTATGCATCTTAAATTTACACAGTGTTATATGTCAACTAAGCTGGAAGAAAATTGAATCAAATACATTTTTAAAGACCTTAAAATTACTCTGTTGCTTATTCACTTTCAAATATAGCAAAATGGCCTAGATTTATTCACTCAAAGCTTTTTCTTTTAAGATTTTATTTTTAAGTAATCTCTACATCCAATTTCAGGCTTGAACTCAAAACCCCAAGATTAAGAGTCAGTGCTTTACCAACTGAGCCAGCCAGGCACCCCTTAAAGCTTTTTCTTAATAAATTTCTATTTCAATGTTTTTTTTTCTTTCACTTTTCTTATACTTCCTTTTATCTATTTAGCATTTTCTTTTTCTTTCTTCCTCTCTGCCCCCTTCTTTCTGTCTTTCTTCTATTCTTGGTCCATCTTAATAGATTTTTGTAATAGCACTTCAACTTTTATTGGTTATACAGGCACAGTTTAAAATACTAGCTACTTCTGCAATGCTTACAATGGGAACATCAGCCCCTCCTTCCTTACCCACTTCTGTCTCCTCTTTTCATCTCTCTTAGTTTATTCTTTTGCTGTTTACCACTAGATTGTGTAGTGATTTGCTTTTACTGTTATTACTTAGTTTTTATTTATTAGATTTTTAAAATTTATTATTAGTTTTCATTTATTAGATGTAGGCATTGTCTATTGACTTCCCACTATAAGGAGTGAGAGTTTATCTCCCTTTCATACCCCTTCCTGCCCTTCTGCTTACGCTGTTCATGTATTTCTAACTCCCATTCCTCCCAACATTAACATAATTTGGTTAGATCGATATATATATTTCTCTGTAAATGTTTTTTATCTCTAAGCCATGGAGTAAATTATAGTTACTTTTATTGCACATCTTCTTTTACTGTTAGTACTTTAAAATTTTTTTTAGTTTTTTTTTTATGTTCTTATCATTCATTCTTCCCTAAAACTTCTCCCAATGATGTAAATATCATTTCAGTATGCTCATATATGTTAGGTGTCTTTTAAAGTTGCAGAGATAAATTCATGTTCCACTTTACCATCTTTAATGAGAAATTTCCTTCCATCTTGGAATAATGCTAGAAAATATTTAGATATTTGGTAATCAGGTAAGGACTCTTGAAACTTCATAATAACATGAAATCTAATATAGTAAGTATTTTAAGAATCTATTTTGTGTCTTGTACTCACTCATAGGTGTTCAGGGAGACCACTTTAGTTGCTACTTTTTATAGGGAGGAAATAGAAATCCTATTTTAGGGTTACCAATCTCTAATTCATAAATTGGGCAGATAATCTTTTGATCTGTAAGTGTTGGTTGAAATTATATTAAATTCAGTTTCATGCCAGGGACTTTAGTTAATGAGCTAATTATTACTCTTGCCAAAAGGTAAAGATGTCAGCTTTTGGTTCTGCTACATATTTGTCAAACTATGTTGTTATTTATTCTCAGTGTGTCATAGCTACCATAGCTTTTGGAATGGGCATTAATAAAGCCGACATTCGCAAAGTCATTCATTACGGTGCTCCTAAAGAAATGGAATCGTATTACCAGGAGATTGGGAGAGCTGGCCGTGATGGACTTCAGAGTTCTTGTCATGTACTGTGGGCTCCAGCAGACATTAACTTAAACAGGTAAAACCATTTATTGCTTTTACTTTTGCAGATTTCTTTCTTTCCGTATAAGCTTTGGAAGTATTTTGAAGCTGCATCCAAAATTCCAAGTAATGTGTATAAGTGCATTTAAAACCAACCAAACAGAGGACATGTAAGAACTTTTGTGGTTAAGTGTTGCCACCCAGAGATGACCTAATTTCAGCTATACCTCATCTAGTGTGAAGAATTAACTATACTGGGAATGGAACATGGATCCTATGGGTGCTTTCCTAATATTGTGCATGGACAAACTCTTTTTCGCCCCAGGTCCTCTCGAGTTTTGGTATGTCTGCAGCCATAGTTTTCTTCAGATAGCATTTATTTTGTTATTGGTTCTTTTTTCCTGTGCTACAACGGTGCTTATTCCAAGTGAATTTTACTATTTGACTCTCTTCACCATTTGTTTCTTTTGTTAGTTCTGTGAAAGCATGCCAGCTCTCCTTGATTGTGTGTGAATACTCGTGTTGCACTATAGCTAGCCATTCATTGTACTGATTGACTGCCATGAAAAACATTAAGTGTTCAGTTAAGTGTAGGGAGATCATTCTACTTAAACATGAAGCAAGTCTTTTACTGGTACTTGAGTTCTATGAGATTTATATTGGAATGGAAAACTTCATCTTGCAAAAATTTCAGGGGCAGGGTTTAGCAACTGATGCCCTCATCCATAGGAGGATAAAATCTCAGGAAAAAAACCCCTATATATGGTAATTGATGCAGCTGTTAAGATGAGTTATTTTCAAAATGCACATCCATGTTGCTGAATAAACTGAGCCCTTGCGTGGACATATTAGCTCATATTATTGAAATGACGAGAGTACCTATCCAATACAGTTTTTATTTTTATTCATCATTCAGCAATGTTTTGTTCTGAGTGCCCGCTATGTTTTAAGCATTATGATCTATGCTGGGGATACAGTGATAAGTAAAAACAGATATGGTGCCTGCTCTCAGAGAGCTCTCAGAGAATATAATGGAAATGGCAGATCTTAATCACAGATTCTGTGATTCTGTATGTACATACATACAGAGTATGTACCCACAACTCTAGATGCACAGGATTCATTGTGTTTGACAATTTCAATAACCAAAAGAGCTTTTAAAAGGGATTATGCAAATCTGTGTAAAAATTACAGCTGTGTTAAGTACTTTGAAGGACAGTTGAGTTGTAAGTAAGAATATACTAGATTGCGTATTTACCAAGTTAAAAAGTTCAGGTTAAGTCTTCCTTCAAGAAGTGATAGGGTGAGTTATGAAAGAAGAACAGGGATTAATTAGATAAAAACGTTTGCTGTAAATTTTAAGCTCTTTAAAGAACAGTGATAGCTTTTGTTTCTTAACACAGAGTTAATAAAACCATCCCCTTAAACAGAACAATTATTGTTTTTCTTTTGACGGTTGCCTATGTAAAAGCTTTTTATAAACTAAAATAACTGGAATAGAGAACAGGTCTATCTGATACTGTTAAATTTGGGGTTGTATCAAACATATGTTGATTCCTACCAATTCTGATTTATTTATATATTGTACTAGAGATGCTGAACACTTAACAGCCGGAGTTTTATACTATGACTATGCAGGTTCATCAGTAGATATAGTTGCTATTTATTTGGGTCTCAAAAGATACTTTATTTTTTTTATTATTTTTTTAAATTTATTTTTTAAATTTATCTTCAGTGTTCCAGAATTCATTGTTTATGCACCACACCCAGTGCTCCATGCAATACCTGCCCTCCACAATACCCACCACCAGGCTCACCCAACTTCCCACTCCCCTCCCTTCCAAAACCCTCAGTTAGTTCATCAGAGTGCACAGTCTCTCATGGTTTGTCTCCCCCTCCAATTTCCCCCAACTCACTTCTCCTCTCCATCTCCCCATGTCCTCCGTGTTATTCCTTATGCTCCACAAATAAGTGAAACCATATGATAATTGACTTTCTCTGCTTGACTTATTTCACTCAGCATAATCTCTTCCTGTCTCATCCATGTTGATACAAAAGTTGGGTATTCATCCTTTCTGATGGAGCCATAATACTTCATAGTATATATGGACCATATCTTCTTTATCCATTTGTCTATTGAAGGCATCTTGGTTTCAAAAGATATTTTAAATGGTTATCTCTTTAAGATTTCACAGAAGTAATAGTGGTTAGTAATCAAATAATGGTGCCAGAAAACCCATACTTGAATTTTAGTAAAGGCAGGTTGTTTTTTGCATCCATCCTAAGGGAAATACTAAACCTACAGGGTTAATCATGATAAAAGAGAATTCAGTGAGGATTTAGGACAGATCTGTGTCATCCTTGGGACAGATCTCTTCTATTGAAAGAAACAAAGTTTGAGAATAAATGGAGTTTCTTGTTCTCAGTCGAAAGATTACTGTAATTCATAAAACTTTTAGAGTGTATCTTATACTAGAATGCTATGATTGAGAAAAGAAACTTGTCCAGTCATCAGTGTAAATATGTAATTTTTTATTTCTTATTGCAGAAGCAGTACCATTGGCAACATCTCAATGTCTGCATTTGCTATTAAACAGTCAAACCCAATGTTATTGTAAACTTTTTAAAAAGGGAATAATTTGCAGGTTAATTTCAATTTAATAATTCTTCCATCTGCTTCCATCTGATTTGTATTTATGGGTTGCTTTTAGAATTTTTTTTCCTTTTCAATTTATTTTTATCCTGTGGAATATTTTACTTTAATAGTCCCAAAAGTAAAATAAATATTTACTAGATTTGCTTTTAGAGACTTATAATTTTATTTTTTCAGATTCGTTACTGACACTGATAATGAGAAGTTAAATGTAGGTCATCTGAACCAAATACAAGGGAGGCTATAGTACTTAGAGTGTAGGTGTTTGTTTTCTTTGTCCTTCCTGAGGAAAAAGAGGTGAGCTAAACAAATAAATAAAGCAAAAAAAGAACTATAGTTGGTCCTTGAACAACATGAGGGTTAGGATTGCTGACTCCCCCAGGTAGTCAAAAATCTACATATAACTTTCGACTCTTCCAAAACTTAACTACCAGTAGCCTACTGTTGACTTGAAGCCTTATAGATAACATAAACAGTAGATTAGCACTTATTTCATATGCTCTATCTATTATATACTGTATTCTTACCATAAATAAACTAGAGAAAAGAAAATGCTATTTTAAAAAATCATAAGAGAAAATGCATTTATAGTACTATACTGTATTTATTAAAAAATTGACATGTAAGTGGACCGATGCAGTTTAAACTTGTGTTGTTTAATGGTCAACTATAATTTTTAGGGCATGGGCTAGGAAGAATGAGATTATGGGGAACTAGAGTCAATAGTTGGAAGAGATTTTGGGGTAAATTATACGGAAAGGCATGGTGGTTGGTGGTGTCAAATCATAAGAATGTTTTTGAATAAGCGATCATTTGTATGTTCAGACTTTCCAGAAGTCATTTAACTGGATTCCCTTTTGGTGTCATCTTTGAGAATTGTACGGAGGTATTTTTATCAGTCAGAAGTTTGAATAGTCATAATATTAGTGAGGTCCATTTTGATGAGGATCAGCATTATCAATTAGAGCTTACAAGCAAACATTGTTTTCTTTTGAAATATCTGAAATCTACTCAATTCAGACTTCTATTTATACTTGAAAGAATTCTTGGAAAGATGTGCATCATCTTCTGATATCTGATATTCATGGAATTTCTTCACAGTAAACTAGAATTAACTTTTTAAAGACAAACATGTCTAGTGCTAACAATTTTAAAATAAATTCAGTATTATAGAAAAATGAGTTATAATTGTTCGAGGAAGAATTTAATTCTGATATTTATTGGCGTCCCAAAATAGACTATAGTATAAAGGGATAGTTTTAAGGGGGATGAGAAATCCTCTGGAGAGCAAATAGGGATTAAGGCTTATATTTGGATTTGAACCTCTTTCAGTATGTTTTAGTTTCTCAGATAAAATAAAATAAACAATAACCTTTTACTGGGAAAATGTAAAAATCCATATATAGTGGGATTATTGCCAAAAAGCATGTAGCATATAAATCAAAATGAAAAACTTTAGGGTTTATAATAATTTTTTCAAAGGCAGCTAAAAAATTGATGCTTGAATATAGATACAGAATTCTTTCAAAAGTAATTTTCATAGAAGTTAGAAAAATGCTTGCCTCTTAGGGGCATTGACTTGACTAGAAAGGGACATATAACTTTCTGGGATGATAGAAAATTTTTTTTTTATCTTGATAGAGGTGTAGGTGGTATAGTTTGTGAAAAGTAAGCAGTAATAAATGTAAAAATAACAAAATCACTAATGCAATTTTATATATTCCTGTGATATTTGTAATTGACAGGCATCTCCTTAGTGAGATTCCCAATGAAAAGTTTCGATTATACAAATTAAAGATGATGGCAAAGATGGAAAAATATCTTCATTCCAGAAGGTGTAGGCGAAAGTAGGTATTATTTGTTTTATGTTACTTAATAACAGATTTAAGAATGGTGCTCTTTAAAAAAAAATGGTGCTCTTTTAAGAAAAAGTTTTGCAAAATAGTTAGAAATATTTAGAAACCGTATCTTGTTGGTATTACATATGTGCTGAAATTTTAAGGTAACTTTCTTTGTGCCTCAGTAAACTGAAGCCAGATAATGAGATCCCAGGTGAATCAATTAGTGATGATTTCACCTCATTATTTTAAGCAATGATTTTAACATATATGGTTTTGTTCTTTTATTTAATTTTAAATTTTCTCTTGGGTAGACTCATCTTGTCTCATTTTGAAGACAAACAACTACGAAAGGCCTCCGTGGGTATTATGGGAACTGAAAAATGCTGTGATAATTGCAGGTCCAGGTAAAGATTTTTTTCTTCTAGATGGTGATTCTAAAAGTCTTTGTTTCTCTTCCTTTTCAAATATATATATTTTTAAGTAGGCTTCATGGCCAACAGGTGGCTTAAACTCACGACCCTGAGATCAAGACTCTGAGATCAAGGGTCAGATGCTCCAGTGACTGAGCCATCCAGGGGCCCCTCAAATAATTTTTAATTGAGTTTTTGTTGAATGATATGTATTACAGTTTTAAAAAACAAAATAATTTATTTAAATGTAAGACAAAGCAAGCAATATTATTTTGCTTTACAAATAGATAAACAAATAGATAAATGGTGGTCCTAAATCTAAATGTATCAATAATTATATTAAGTGTAAATGGTCCAAAATCACCATTTAAAGGCAGACATTGTTAGAATTGGTTTAAAAATATGACTGAGCCTGGCTGGCTCAGTCAGAGGAGCATGCGACTCTTGATCTTGGCGTCATGAGCTTGGGCCCAGATTGGGTGTAGAGATTATTTAAAAATAAGTAAAGTTGGGGGAAAAAAAAATGACCCAACTCTATGCTGACCATAAGAAATCCACAAGTGTAATTATATAGGTAGATTAAAAATAAAAGGATAACAACTATATACCATGAAAACACTAGTCAAAAGAAAGCTGGGTTGTTATTTTAATATCAGACAGTGGAGACTTTGGAGAAAGAATATTACCGGGGATAAGGTAAGACATTACATGATGGTAAAAGGGTCAGTTTACCAATGAATCATAGTTCTCCAGAGTTACACACACATACATACATACACACAGAGATTGATTTTAAGGAATTGGCTGATGGCAGTTGTGGGGGTTGGCAAGGCTGAAATTTGTAGGATAAGCTGGCAGGCTGGAAAGTCAGGCAGAATTTCTGTGTTAATATTTTTGAGTCACAGTTCCTTGTTGTGCAGCAAACCTCAGTCTCTGCTCTTTAAGGCCTTCGTTTGATTGGATGAGACTTAACATTATCAGGTAATCTCCTTTTCTTAAAGTCAACTGATTGGAAGTGATTGGAATATCTCCAAAATATTTATAACATCATCTAGATTAGTGTTTGACCAAACAACTGAGCACCATAGCCTAGCCAAGTTGACACATCAAGTTAACCATCATATTCAAGAGCACATAATCCTAAATGTGTGTATACTTTAACAAAAGAACTGACAGAATTGAAAGGAGAAATACAGAAATCCATAATTATAGTTAGTGATTTCAACATCTCTCAGTAATTAATGGAACTAATAGACAGAAAATCAGTAAGAAGACAGAAATGAACAGGACTGCCAACAAACTGGATCTAATTAACTTTTATAGAAACTCCACCCAACAACGGTGGAGTAAACATTCTTCCCAGGTACTGATGGAATGTTCACAAATGGGGATTATATTTTGGGTCATAAAACAAACCTTAATACATTTAAAAGAATTCGGCTCATATGGAATGTGTTTTCTGACCTTAAAGGAATTAAACTAGAAACCAATAACAGAAAGATAGCAGGAAAGCCTCCAAACACTCAAAGATTAAATAGCACACTGCTAAGTAACCCATGAGCCAAAGAGGAGGCCTCAAGGTCAACTGGAAGATATTTTGAACTGAATGAAATGAATATATAAAATGTATGGGATGCAGCTAAAGCAATACTGAGGGAAATTTAGAGCATTAAATACTTAGAATAAAAGAAAAGTTTCAAAGCTGTAATTAAGCTTCTACCTTAGGAAGCAAATAAGAGCAAAATAAACTAAAAGGAAGCAGAAGGAAGGAAATAAAGATAAGAGCATAAGTGAAATGAAATAGAAAACAAAAACAAAAGAGAAAAACCAAAGAATTCAAAAGCTCATTCTTTGAAAAGGTCAATAAAATGAATAGAAACTTCTCACAAGAAAAAAAGGGAATACAGAGATTACCAATACGAGGAATGAAAGTAATTTCACTACAGGTCCAACGGACATTAAAAGAATCATAAAGAGACACTGTGAATAACTCAGTGCATGTACATTCAGTAATTTAGAGGAAACAGACCCAATTCCGTGATAACTTCAAACTGACAAAATTCACGTACAATGAAATAGATAACCCGGATAGTTGTACGACTGTTAAAGAAATTAGAGCTGTTAAAAACCTCTGGAATAAAATTCCCTAGCCCAAATGGTTTGAATGGCAAATTTTACCAAACTTTTAAAGGAAGAAATAATACCAGTTTTACAGTATGGTCCCATTTATATGGTGGTCTCACAAAAGTAAGACTATACTGTCTGGGATGGAGAAAAGATCAGTGGTTGCCAGAGGGTAGAGGGAGTTGGAGGGTGTGATTACAAAGAGCTAGCCTAAGGGAGTGTTTACTCTGATGGATTTGTTGTGTGTCCTCATTGTGATAGTAGCTGATTATGGTTGTTGGGTGAATCTATGCATATGAATCAATAGATGTATTTAAATTCATAGAACTTTACATATGCACAGATACACAGTCAATTTAACTGTATATTAATTGAAAAAATAAAAACAAATTGTTTAACTAGTTGAGTTAACCATAGGTACCTAGGCATAGTAGCTATGTAACTATTAGACAAAAAAGTAATTATTAGGGATGAAGATGATCTCTGTGGTGACAAAAAGTTTCTTCTGCAAAAGGACAGAATTGTTCTATGCACCAAACCCCCAAACCCTACAAATAAATAAAGCACAAACCGACAGCCGGAAGAAATCAACAAATCCACCATTAAGGTAGAAGAGTTTGATATAATTTTTGGTTATTGGTAGGTTAAACAACCCAGAAATGAGTAAGCTGTAGAAAATTTGGTCAACATAGTAACAAGTTTGATTTATCACACACTTGCTATTTAGAACTCTATACTAAGCATTTAGAACAATGTATTGCAAACATTTTCACTTATGATCCACAAAACTAATGATAATACCACGATAGCACATTAGGCTGTTTACTACTCGGGTCCAGATTCTGTCCAGAACTGTGATTAACTCTATAGCATCCCTATAATCCATTTATAGCACACTAGCTGGGAAGCCCTGAATTAGAGACTGTACTTCTCAAACATACATGGAACATTGATAAAAATTTGACTCCGGGGGCACCTGGGTGGCTCAGTGGGTTAAGCCCCTGCCTTCGGCTTAGGTCATGATCTCAGGATCCTGGGATCGAGCCCCACATCGGGCCCTCTGCTCAGCAGCGAGCTTGCTTCCCATTCTCTCTCTGCCTGCCTCTGCCTACTTGTGATCTCTCTCTCTGTCAAATAAATAAATAAAATCTTTAAAAAAAAAAAAAATTTGACTCCGTGTTAGAGCAGGGGGCTGGCAAACTGTGGCTTGTATACAAACCCACTTTGCTGCCTGTTTTTATGGATGAAGTTTTCTTGGAATACAACATACCCTTTTGTTTATATGTTGTCTGTGGCTGTTTTTGCAGAGTTGAATGCCTAGTAGCTGTGACACAAAGACAGTATGGCCCACAAAACCTAAACTGTTTACTCTCTGGCCCTTTATAAAAAGCTTTCTGTCCCTTATACTAGATTGTAGTGTTGTCTCAAAAGTTTTCAGTGTATTGGTATTAAACACCCCACTGTATCTGATCAGAATGCAATTGAATTAGAAGAAAATAAAAGGATTAACAAAATTCTCATTCACTTGGACATTAAAAATAAATAACACTTTTAACTTACTCATAAATCAAAGAAAGAATCAGATTGGAAATTAAAACATCTTTAGAACTTTAGTAATGATTACAATATTATACATTAAAACTTGGAAGATACAGCAGAGGTGGCACTTTGTGGGAATCTGATAGCTTTAAATATTCATACTAGAAAAGAAAAATAATGAGCTAAGTATCCTACTAAAGAAGTTAGAATAGGAGAATAAACCTAAATGTAGTCTTTCCCCCAGAACATATTATAGCTGGAATATTGACTGTATTCCTACTGCTGTTTCAAAGCTACTTGTTCTAAAGAAAGCTATTGAATTAGGTAGTTGAACTGTATTAGTTGTTTTTCTCTAAGGAGTCCTTTTGTTCTCAACCAGCTTTAAAGAATTCTTGGGGCTCCTGAGTGGCTCAGTGGATCAAGCCTCTGCCTTTGGCTCAGGTCATGATCTCAGGGTCCTGGGACTGAGCCCCCTATCAGTGCTTCCCCCCCCCCCACTTGCCTCTCTGCCTACTTGTGATCTCTGTCAAATGAATAAATAAAATCTTTAAAAAAAAATTCTCATTTGTATTAATGATAATTCTAAGTCTACCTGAAGGATGGCTTAGGATTGTAACTTCCAAGTGGACTTAAATGAGGTGCACTTTATCTTTGTGTCGTATTTTACAGACATCGGAGTTTAAGCTAATAATTTATTGCATAGGAGATTTGGTTTTTAAGTTAACAACTTTTTTTTTTTTTTGCAAAAATTTTTTTCTCCTATTACAACCTAACCCAAAAATCCAGTATTTATATAATCATTCGAGTTGAGCTTTTCAAGCTGTACTTCTGAATTCTGCTTGCTTGAACCTCGCTACTCTTATGTTTATGGTCTAAGGTACCTCCTATGAAATTTGGGTTCCAGGGTACCAGGGTTGAGAACCATCAACATAACATACAAAGCTATAATTATGGTTTATATTTCATGGTTTACATACTTCACATGGTCTTGGCTGTAATGAACTTTGTTAGCTTATGAATCAGTTGGCGTATTTGAGATTTTTTTTTTCTTTTACTTAGCTAATTGTTACACGGAATCTTTTTCTTTCTAAAGGTACATGCCTTAGCTAAACTTTCTATTACAATGTTTGTTACTTAGATTGGATCATTGCTGTGCCATTGATGACTCAGATGAGACATCAAAGGACTTTGGTCCACAAGCATTCCAGCTTTTATCTGCTGTGGAAATCTTAGGAGAAAAGTTTGGAATTGGACTTCCGATTTTATTTCTCCAAGGATCTGTAAGTATACCTGTGAATCACCTTCATAGTTCTTCTTGCAGTCCTGTTAAACTTTTCTTCAGAAGTTTGTCTTGGGATGGCAGTTTTGGCTTTAGATGAGTTATTGGAAGTCAGCCATATGAAGCTCCAATCAAGCATTACATTTGTTACTTTTGACAAAACCTGCATGTTATCACATGTACTGCTGTTTTCATATTTCAAGTTGATGTTCAGCTTTGCAGCTCATTCTAGAAGCATCGTATTAGCTTATTAGATTACAGTTGGATAAATCCCTAAACTGGTCTTTCTTAGGATAATCAAGAAAAGTTAGCTTTCATTGTATCAGGAGATAGGTAGAACAAAAGTATCTCTTTTGGTGCCCTGAAAAGTAGTAAATTCTTTGAGCAAAACTTTAATTTCAGTGATTATTTGTAAATGTCTAAGTTCAATAACAATATTTGGAGGTATACTTTTTCTTTTTACATCTTTTCTGTTTCTCGTCTCAGGTATTTAAAATTCCAAAAATTTTTTCTGTTTGTTTCGTTTTTGGCTTTACCATTGAATAAATAGCGATAGCCAATTCAGCTACTTTTTTTTGTTTTAGTTATTAGCATGCCAGAATTATGCTAACATTTGCAAGTACACTATGAGTAAGTCATGACCCTTAACAGTCAGTAGTCCTTTTGTTCATATGATTTTATTCCTGGTTTAGAAGTCTGTAAAGCAAAGCCAAGTGTCATGCATTGCTATTAGTTGAATAAACCAAAGTCGGAGGTAGAATCCTTCACAAATATGTATATTTATTAAAAATATACTTAAAAGTAGAGATTAATATCCTCAGTTTGCATGTAAAATTTTAAAAAATAATTTAAGTAAGCATTTATTTGTTAAATACTTGAATGCTTCATGTAAATATTTATTTTCTGAGTTTTTATCTTGTTTAGAAAGGGACATGTTAAATTATTTGTGAAATATTTTTAATGAAATATTGAAAACATGTTAACTTTTCAGATAGTGATGGCTTTAGATTCTGCATGAAGTTTAAAATATTATGTTTTTATTTTTTGTTATTTTTTCCCCAGCCCCGCTATAATTTTGTTTTTAAATCACCAGTTTGATTAGAAATTTAATAAGTGTTGTCACTGTTTATTATTTAAGTAGTGTTCCAAGTTAAGGAACTTGGTTTTAGCTGCTATGAGTGCTACTATTTTTTTTTTCTAGTATCTTTTTTATTAAAGAATTTAAGTTACAAGAGATAGATTAAGCTTAATTGGGATCTATGAAAGTTTCTTTTGTCTCTGTCATCTTCAAAACCTGTGTATCCCAGTTGAATGTGTAATTTATAAAAATTATCCTTGTTTTAATTTGGTTTAAGCCAGCAGTATCCAGTATCAACAAATAAGTGTAAGTGGGCTCCTACACAAACTTGAACTGGCCACAAGAGGGATCAGATTTCACCTATTATTTGAAAACCAAGTCAGACTGCTTATACTGACAGTCTCTTCTGGGAGTCTTCAAATTAAGAAGTTTATTCTTTGTGAAATTTTATACTACCCTTGCTAGATAAAGGTATAAAACTTTTCAAAAAAGTACCACTTAAAAAAAATTTGTAGACATTAACTACAAGGAAAAATAAGGTAATTTTTTTTCCCCTTCCTTTCAGTGATCTTGGTATCTATTGGGATGTTTTAAAAATTATAATTATGATTCCTTTAGGAATTTAGTAAATCATCCACCTTAACTAATTTAGGTAAAATTTATAGCTTTGTAGATAATTTTGATCTGTAAGATGATAAATATATTAAACTGAAAACCTTTAGAGTTTTAAAGAGATAATATTTTTACATATATATAAGAAATATAATTTAAGTAGCATGTGATTTTCTTTTCTTACACAAGATTTTTCTAAATAGTATAAACAGTTATACCGCCCATCCAGGTATTTGTAAATGGAGTTTAAAACTTTGTTTTTAAATAGTACAAGTTTAATTAGAAATTAAATACTAGAAATGTTGCCTAAGAAACTTTGTTTTAGCTGTCTAAATAGCTCACCACATAAATATTTTTAAACACCCTGTATGAATAAGTTTCTGTTTTCGAATCTATCCAATAATAACTGGATAGATTCGAAAACAGAAACACAGTACTTAATTTGCATAACCAGGACATTAAGTGAAACCTCATTCCTGATCATATTTTCAAAGTGCTGAGCCTTGTCATGGCTCCAGAATTAGGTAATACTTCTGATAAAAGATGCTTTGACTACAGGCAGCCACGAGAAAACTACTGGTAGTTTTAAACACCCTTTATAATTTTCAATGTATTGAACAGGAGAGGGTTATCAATTTAATTTTCTGGATAAGCTATTTTGTCTGATTGAAATATATTCCTAGAGATAATTTTTTTTAATCTTTTAATTTTACTTTGCATTTAGAATAAAAGCCCTGGAAGTGACTTTGTTAAGCCCTGAAGTGGCAGCTCCAAGCTTCTTTGGCTTGTAGGAGTTGGGAAAGAGGCAAAAGAAGTTAAAATGTAGACAGAAACTGTGGGCTTGTTTTACACTTTAAGAACTTAGAGATTTGGGGCGCCTGGGTGGCTCAGTGGGTTAATAAGCCTCTGCCTTCGGCTCAGGTCATGGTCTCAGGGTCCTGGGATCGAGCCCCGCATAGGGCTCTCTGCTCAGCAGGGAGCCTGCTTCCCCCTCTCTCTCTGCCTGCCTCTCTGCCGACTTGTGATCTCTCTGTGTCTATCAAATAAATAAATAAAAACCTGAAAAAAAATAAAATATACTTTAAAAAAAAAAAAGAACTTAGAGATTTAAAACTTGAGAGAGCTCATACCTATTTTTTCCACTCGTTATTAAACATCTGTGTGCGTGTGTGTGTGTGTGTGTAAGGCACTGTGTTTTGTAGGGAATCCAAAAACCAAAACTCATCCTCTAGTATGAAAGGTGTTACTTGGGAAGAAATAGTATAGTGTGGCATTGAAAGAGATAAAAAACATAGGAATAGACATGGGTTCTGGAGAGAGTGCTTGTTCATAGCCGGCAAGTTAGAGAAGTCTTTGTGATGCTGTCAGTATTGTTGGAGCTTTCTTTTTTGTGGGAGATAATAGATTTTGGCATTCAGACATGAGATGAGGAAAGAAAGATGGAGGGGAGTGTGGCATTCCCAGCAGAAAGAATTATCATACAAAACGATTGTGATCTTTAAAGAAGTCACTTCAGACAAGTGGCAGATTTGTGTGTTGTTGTTGTTGTTGGTTTTTTTTCCTCTATCAGATAAAGGTTCAAAGACTTTGCTTTTATCAGAAAGTGATACTTTGGGTCATGGATTCTCAGCAGTCTGCTCTTTTTGTTCAAACACCTATCCATAGTTAGTGGGTTTCCATATTCCTTGATACCAGTTTGGTGCTCCTTATTTTCCCAACCTGATTTTTAAAAGAAAAGAACGAGATAATTTCCCTTTTTGAGTGTGTCCCATAGAAGTGTAGACTCCTAGAGCAAAAAAACTATTTATTCCTCTTGCCTTATTTGACAGTGGTTGATACTGAATTCCTGAAAGTTAGAGGACCTGCCTGAGTCACATTATTTTGTGCCACAATCAGGATGAGCAAGCAGCTTTCCTGACTACTGTTCTGGTGCCTTTTCTATTCATTATGCTGTTCACATGCAGTTTTACATTTTTATTTTTAGATTGAATGATCTGGAGATACTAGAATGAATGCAGTTGGTACGGGATGTGTCTGTAAAATGTGCCTTCCTTAAAATCAATGCCCAAATCCCTGTGTTCTCTATAGCAGCTTTCTGGGCATGGTGATTGCCATGGAAACAAGACAATGTGAATTTATTCACACAGTATATAGTATTTGCAATTATTGATCATGAGGGGAAGGACAATTAGTCCCTGCTGATTAGGAAAAAATCTTATTGCTTCATACTGGTGAATGTGTTCATTCCCTTCAGGTTTTGTCGGTTTTTGTTTTTTTTTTTTCTTATGAAAGGAAAGGCTAGAACAATAATTTTAGTGTTGAGATTGCTAGGAAGTACTAGTTAGGCAATTTAATACCTTTGGTGTTACTAGTTTGCAAGCAGTAGAATCTCCTGCTATAAGGAAAAGCCCCTAGTAGATATAGAGTACCATTACCAGTGTTACAAGGAAATCTGACTAGATACTAGGTAGTGATTTTTCTTTTTTCTTTTTTCTTTTTTTTTTTAGAGATTTACTTATTTATTAGAGAGAGTGCACGCATGCATGTGCTTATGTGGGAGGGAAGGGCAGAGGGAGAAGGAGAGAATCTTAAGCAGGCTCCACACGCAGCTCCAAGGCTCAGTCTCATGACCCTAAGATCATGACCTGAGCAGAAATCAGGAGTCGATACTTAGCCGACTGAGCCACCTAGGTGCCCTTATAATGGTTTTTCTTTTAGATTAGGGAATTTATGTTGAGTTAAAGGATCAACTGTTAACTAATAAGAAGAAAGTTAATGTTACTGAGTCAGGCTCTGTCTTGGTTACTCAGTCTTTACAACATGTCCAAGAGATAGAAGGTGTTGTTAATACTTGGGTAGCAGCTGAGGAACTAGAAGCCCAGGTAAGTTAAGTAACTTTTCTGGTCAAAAAGGTAGAAAGTGGGGTGCCTGGGTGGCTCAGTGGGTTAAAGCCGCTGCCTTCAGCTCAGGTCATGATCCCAGGGTCCTGGGATCGAGCCCCGCGTCGGGCTCTCTGCTCGGCAGGGAGCCTGCTTCCCTTCCTCTCTCTCTCTGCCTGCCTCTCTGCCTACTTGTGATCTCTGTCTGTCAAATAAATAAATAAAATCTTTAAAAAAAAAAAAAAAGGTAGAAAGTACCATTCCTGGGACTTGAATCCAGGTAGTCTTGCTGTACTAACTACAAACAATGTGTGTGTGTGTGTGTGTGTGTGTGTGTGTGTGTGTGTATAGATATGGATATGTGGTATCTCTGTTGTATATGTATGTATTACATATGTATATTTGTGTGTGTGTTCGCATGGTATAGTAATGAAGGTTTCGAACTAGTACTCTGGAGGCCTGTGTTCTACTCCTAGTTCTAGGACCTTAGCTACCGCTTAACTCTTTGAGCCTCTATTTGTTAGCAATATGAGTAAAAAATAACCATGTGGATCAAAGAACTCCAGTGTTCTTCTAGCTCTGAAATTCTCTGATGTTTGAGTTTAAGCATTCTTTTCAAGTCAGTTGGCTTAGGTAGGGAAAAGGGTACCATGTTGTACCTGGGTGTTTCTATTTCTCTAAATCTTGTTCTGATAAAATTTTGGTAAATATAATCACCATGATACTAAAGCTCATTACTTATCTATTGTAATAAAAAGAATCCTATTTCTATTTTTAAGGTAAGTAGAATGCATGTTATAGACTCTTTAACTAACCTGTCAGAAGCCTATGGGTGTTAAGCTCAGTTTCTAGGCACTGAAGTGTCTCTGATGGGAATTTGTTCCACTTTAATCTAACGTCAGCCTAGGTTTCCTTCATGTGTTGACAGAGAGAGAGAGACAGCGAGGGCAAGCACAAGTAGGGGGAGTGGGAGAGGGAGAAGCAGGGTCCCAGCTGAGCAGGGAACCCGATGCAGGGCTCAGTGCCAGCACTCTGGGATCATGATCTGAGGCAAAGACAGACACTTACCTGACTGAGCCACCCAGGCCTCCCAAGGTTCTTTCACTTTTATTCACATGTTTCAATGTTCCAAAATGATAAAATGGTAAAATGGTAGCTGTAACAATTTTCATCAGTTGAATAAAACCAGTACATTCATAATAGAGAACCTTCTAGTACTTGAGTTATGTCTGCTGTCTATGAATTGTTTTGACTTTGACCCCTGGATTTTTATATGCATTGATTATTAAGCCTTCATGGAATATAGGTAAAATGTAAAAATGTTGAATGACGGGCTGTGCCTGTTTCAAAAATTTTAGATTGCATTTAATATTGAAAATTTTAGAATAACCTCTTGACATAGTCAAGGGATGACTCTTTTTGAAATCTAAATATAACCTAAAATACAGAATTTATATTTGCTCATAATCACTCTAAACAATTTAAACAGAAAGCTATGTATTACTGGGCATTAAAAAACTTACAGATTGTACTGTAAAATAATCAATTATGAGACCTGCTGCTTCTTCTGTGACAAGAAGCCATCAGTCTGGGAAGCTGCCGCTGTAGCACCAGGCCCCACAGTGCACCGAACAGGGAGCTGTAATAGCCAGGGAGGTTCTCCTTCTTGTTCTGGTGACCACCTGTACTTGCTATAATCTGTATCCAAAAAGTATATGCCTCTTGAGACTTAGGATGCTAGTAGTCGTACGCTGGGTTCTTGGCTAACCCTTTCTCGTAAAAAGCGAACACCTCCACAATCATGTGTCCCTGCAACAATAGCTACAGAGTAGCCCGACCTCATCTCGTGCTGCGAGATGTCATGCAAAAATTTGCCTCTTAAATCATACCCAGAACTCTGGTGGAAAGGGATTTTGAGAAACAGTATTTATAACTTCGCAGATTCTGCAGTGAAAGAGGGTACAGTGGCTGAAGGTTAGAATGATCCTTGAATGACCATCTGATGTATTCACCACAAGTACATTAGACAGGAACAACTTTCCATAAAGCATTATGTTCATAAAATACTATAGACATGTAAAGGCAGTTCTTGAATGTGTAGGGTAAGTAGAGGAGGTAGTAAGAGGGCACAGTGAATGGAAAAGTACTTTACAGAGAGTGAAGGTGTGGGGAGTCCCCTCCGTCAGAGGGCAAGAGAGTTATATAGGAGACTCTGCACATGGCAGACCATCTTCCCCAACATTGCCAGAATGTGATGGCCTGGGCCGAGTCTCCTACTGGAACCCTCTCTTCTCTTAGGAAAAAAAAAAGAATCTCAAAAACAGTTCCTGGGTAGCATGCACTTGTTTTCCCTGGAGTTTCTCTGTAAAGTAGCTAATCAGAAATGATGAAGTACACTTTGTAGTACCTCGTGAACAAAAGTACGGTGAATGCAGCCATGCTGTGGGGACTGAATCGTTGCCGTGCGCTCACTGACTAGCTGTGGGGTCACCCTGCCTTTTAACACCCCTGCCTCTAGTCTTGAGCTCCAGCTTATGAGTACTGTTTTCAGACAGTAATGTGTGTTGATAAAAGGCCTAAATAGCCTAGGTTAAATATGCCAAACATATCCAACGCTGTGCATTGGAAAACGTGTATCAAATTACCTGCCATTATTTCACACAGGAAAGGACCACTGTTTTGATTATATATTTATGACTTAAGTGCTCAGAACAAGCATGATGGGCATCAAATTTTGTAGGTACTTAAAGCTGAAATTTAGTGTTAAATCCAAAAAGTGAATAGGCAGTCCCATTTTACTTATCCTGTTTAAGTAAAAAAAGCATTTTTAGATACTGATTTTATTCCTAATTTCAGAGTTCCCAGCGTCTTCCAGATCAATATCGCAGACACAATTTATTTGGCAGTGGCAAGAATCAGACAGAGAGTTGGTGGAAGGCTTTGTCCCACCAGCTCATGGCTGAGGGATTCTTGGTAGAAGTTTCTGGGAAACGCAGATTTGTAAGGATTTGCACTCTTACAGAAAAGGTAAGCAATGTAGAAGACTACCTGTTTGATTTAATTTTTCTCGCTATGTATTAAAAGATTCTTCTTGTGTTCAATAGGGCAGATGTTGGCTTCATGAAGCCGGTACAGAGTCTCCTAAGAAACTTATCCTCCAAGCTAGTGAAGAATTGTGTCCGAGGGTGTTTCTTCTACCAAGGTTCATTTTTCATTTTTTTTTTAACTTCTGTATTTTTGTGGTTGAAATGGCAAATTATACCAATTCACAGGCACCACAAAGATAAAGTGAGTAAAGATTGCTTTGCATACATCTTTTAGCTAGTTTGAAATTGAGAGTTAGTGGGTGAAAGATAAATCATAGATCATTTTCTTGATTGATAAGAAGTAGATGAGTGTTATAGTATTTAGAAAGCTACTTTCCCATTGATTAAAGAAACAGCACTGAGATCAATGTTGAAGCATCCATATATCAAATTCTTTTTTTTTTTTTAAGATTTTATTTATTTATTTGGCAGAGAGAGAGAGATCATAAGTAGGCAAAAAGGCAGGCAGAGAGAAAGGGTGAAGCAGGCTCCCTGAGGGAGCCTGATGTGGGGCTCGATCCCAGGACCCTGAGATCATGATCTGAGTCGAAAGCAGAGGCTTAACCCACTGAGCCACCCAGGCACCCCTCAGATTTTCTTCTTATGTTAGAAGGTGGGAAGGGAATATACTTGTTGCCTTCTTTTTTGTATCTTTACATGTTGTTGATCATTTATGGGTTTTTTCCTTTTTTAAAAAATTGAGATATAATTGACATAACATTTTGTAAGTTTGAAGTGTACAACGTGTTAGTGTGATAGATTTATATATTGTCATATGATTACTACAGTGGGTTAGCTAAAACCTCTATCATGTGACATAATTATCATTTCTGTGTTGAATACAACTCTCTTCACAACTTTGAAGTTTATAATATTGTTGATGGTAATCCCTATAGTGTGCATTATATTATCAATTTTTCTTTTAAAGTCAAAAAACTCTAAAGAGCTTTATTTTATTTTTTTTTTAAGATTTTATTTATTTATTTGACAGAGAGATCACAAGTAGGCAGAGAGGCAGTCAGAGAGAGAGGAGGAAGCAGGCTCCCTGCTGAGCAGAGAGCCTGATGCGGGCCTCGATCCCAGGACCCTGGGACCATGACCTGAGCTGAAGGCAGAGGCTTTAACCCACTGAGCCACCCAGGCGCCCTCTAAAGAGCTTTAAACTTAAATTTTAAAGAGCTTAAAAAGCACTTTCGGAGCTTGTCCTAAAAATAATTAATTTAAAGAAATCTCAGTTTGGGGACTCCTGGGTGACTCAGTCATTTAAGCCTCTGCCTTTGGCTCAGGTCATGATCCCAGGGTTCTGGAATCGAGTCCCACATTGGGCTCAGCTTCTGCTCAGCTTCTCCCTCTGCCTGCCACTCCCCTTGCTTGTGTTCTCTCTGACTCTCTCTCTCTCTTGCTGACAAGTAAATAAATAAAATATTTTTTAAAAATTTAAAAATAAATAAAAATAAAAAAATTTCGGTTCTAAAACAGTAGACTCTCATCTGTCTTTCTGAGACTGGATGCATTATGATATTAGATAATTGGATAATCATATTTCAGCATTTGAGATAATTTGATGTTATTATTTTTTCAGTTCTAAAACTGTACCACCCGGCATTGAACAGGGTTCCTATAATCAAGTACGAGCTGAGTCAACCACAGACAAGAAGGTTGGTTTGTTTAAAGAGGTGGTTCCTACTGATTTCCTTCGAAATGCCATATGTAATAAAACATAAACTTTGGAAAGAGTAGTGATGTGAACAGAATAAAAGATGCAGGATGTGATTTCTGGGGCTAATAGGACAGTTAAAAATACTTGAGAAAGTGACTTATTTTAATTTTTTTAAAACCTGTTTTATAACTCATTTGGCCTGGAGTTTTTTTGTTTTTTTACAAAGTACGATACTTAAAACTAAGAGAAATAATAAGCCTGATTCCTAAGTGTTCTCATGAAAGCCATATGCATACTTACACACACATGCACACATACTTTCTTGCTTTGTTTTTGGATCTTAGATAACAGTTACAGGTTAAAGAACTACAGGCAGACTTAAACTAATTGGAACACTGGAGTAACAGGAAAATGTGCTGAATTAATTTTTTGTCAGAGTTTTTCTGTTGTATTAAAGTATGTAGAATTTAACTGAATCATTTTATAAGTTGGGCCTCTACTGTGCCTCAAATAATTATTCTGATTATGTATTCTCTATAGATTTGGGAGAAATAGGACATTACATTTCCAACTGCCTTTAGAATCCTAGAAATTGATAATCCAAGAGCTATTTTCAGGTGATGACTTTTATTTGATGACTTGGTTAATCAGAGAAAAACTTGTCATCGTGAGATTTTTGTATCTTATTATTATTATTTTTTTGTATTTGAAAATTTTGAAACTTCTGATTTCTTGTAATGAATCTTTATATGTTTAAAAGCAGCCTAACTTGGAGAAGATGTATTCTTATAAAGCAACTGATAAAATTTCTTCTGGGAGAAACATTCCTAAAAAAAGGTACAGAGTTCAAAATGTTTATTTTCTACGTTAACTGTATCGACACCTTTTTTCTTTCTTTCCTAGAGAAAGGTCTGTCAGATGTTGGACTGTTTCATTGGTAGAAGGAAGTTAAAGTTAAAGCATAAGCCTATCATAATTATTATGTAGATAAAATTATTATATATAATATATAAATTATAATTATTAAATAAGACCTATAAAATGATAGCATTAATATTAATTTAATAGCTAATACTTCTTGGGTATTATTATTTGCCAAGCCATACGCTACATGCTAAGTATTTTATTTGTAGCATCTCATTTAATTGTTACAACAGTCTGTAAGTTGGCTACTATTATTTATTCCCATTTTAAAGTTGAAGATACCAGGGGTTAAGAAGTTAACTTTGTTCAGTCACGTATGGCAGATCTGACTTTCAAATCTATATTTGTCAACCTTTAGCTTCTTTTTTTTGGCAGAGAGGCAGGCACAGAGGGAGAGAGGAGGAAGCAGGCTCCCTGCTGAACAGAGAGCCCGACTCGGGGCTCGATCCCAGGACCCTGGGATCATGACCTGAGCCAAAGGCAGAGGCTTTAACCCACCGAGCCACCCAGGCGCCCCCAACCTTTAGCTTCTAAACACTCACTATATATGTATAAAATATATATTCCAAGGCCATATAAAATACATGTTATGGGAACATAAAATGGTAGATATTAGAGTTGGTAGAAATAGTGAATGGACCTATTATACTTTGGAGCTTAATATTTGACTTGCTAACTTAAAGTGTGGAGAATGTACAGAATTAGAGAAGGTCTAAAGATGGAGAGTTTGAAAAACTTGTCAGGACTTATATACAGATTATTGAATGGACTTTGTTTATATACATATCAGGTGAACGGAAGTTAATGTGCTCTGATGCTGTTACTTTCTGGTGGATTTCTCACTTAGATAATACTACTTTGGATCTGACAGAAATATTTGCCATAATACCAGTCTCTCACTCAAAACAATTTCTTTTTGTTTAGATATGGGCTAATTAATTACAGTGTGTAAACAAAAGGGTTAAGGAGTATATAAAACAAGATATCCATTCAGTATGCTGAAGTATTTCTTCATTTAAACATTTGTTTCATTTTTGGTAAACATCTTTGTGCCGGGTATTACTCTTCGCCTTGGGATTTGGTAGGGAAAATAGAGACATAGTCACTGGCCTTCCCAGGGTTTATACTCCAGTGGGATATACAGGTAGGGGAATATGAAATTACAATCCAAAGTTGTAATACTTTGGAAAAACACTTGGAAATGACACTTGAGACTTTAGGTAGAAGTTAAGTGACATGAGGGTAAGTTCTCTGAGCAGAGGAATGGCCCACTTTTTAAAACCTGAAAGCAAGAGAGGGTGTGATATGATCAAGGAACTCAACAGTCCTAGCAGTTACCTAGTAGAGGGAAGCAGAGGGGTGGTGAAAATTTAAGACTGAAGAATTAAATAGGGCCCAGAATATCCAATTCCTGTCCATCCCTCAACTTGATCATAAAGGCAGAGGAGTTGTTGGGAGCTAAGGAAGGATTTTTCAGTAGGACAGTGACATCAAATTTACGATTGAGAACAGAGGTTGCCATTTCCATCAAGGATCAGATAGTAAACAATTTAGGCTCTGAGGGCTATGTGGTCTCTGTCTAACTTTACTCTTGTAGCCTTACAGCAGCCATAGTTGATATGTAAAGAAAGTATGGCTTGTATTCCAATAAAACTTTATTTATGGACCCTGAAATTTGAATTTCATATAATTTCCACATGTCACAAAATGTTCTTTTGATTTTTTTTTTTTTTTGACTGTTTAAAAATGTAAGAAACCATTCTTAGCTTACAAGCCTTGTCAGAACAGATGGGTTTGTCCCGTGCACCCTGGTGTGCCGACCCTTGATCCATGACTCTGGCTGTGGAGGGAATGGAAGGCAGGAGGATCAGAGTGTGGAGACCCAATACGGAGGCTATTGTAAGAGACGGTGGGAACTTAGACAAGGGAAATGGCAGTGGGCATGGAAAGAGAAAGGACTGTAAGATATTTAGGAGTTAGAATTGTTAGGACTAAGTGATTGAAAACAGAGGTGGGCTTAGGAAAGTGGAAAACTTGAACATGACGCTTAGGTTTGTGTCTGATTGCAGGCGAGAGTGTTGTCATTCCCTTCGCTGGTAACGTAAGAGGAACACAGGTTTGAGAGGTTGGGTATTTAGGGGATGAGGAGTTTAGTGATAGACATACTGGGTTTGACATACCTGTGGAGTGGCCCAGAAATTAATTTTAATATATGGGCTTAGTGTATAGGAGCGAGGAAGATGCTTACATATCAATAACTATTATTTTATTTTATTTTATTTTTTTTTTTAAAGATTTTATTTATTTGTTAGAAAGAGAGAGACAGAGTGCAAGCACAGGCAGACAGAGTGGCAGGCTAGAGGCAGAGGGAGAAGCAGGCTCCCTGCCGAGCAAGGAGCCTGATATGGGACTCGATCCCAGAATGCTGGGATCATGACCTGAGCTGAAGGCAGCCGCTTAACCAACTGAGCCACCCAGGCGTCCCAATAACTATTATTTTAAAGTTCATTTGAATTTTCATTAAAATAATTCATGTACATGGTTTTAAAAGTCAATTGGTACTTAATGGCCTATAACAAAGCAAGCCAGTTCATATCCTTCCCAAATCCACTTTGCTCTGTTCTGTAGAAGTGGTTATCCTCTAATCTTTCAGCTGGGCTTGTAGATATTTGCCTCTATTTTTTAAAGGTTGGGGAGGGGTAGGGAGAGAGGGAGAGAGAATCTCAAGCAGACTTCCTGCTGAGCATGGAGCCTGTCCTGGTGCACGACCTCATGACCCTCAGATCATGACCTGAGCCAAAATCAAGAGACAGATGCCTAACAAACTGAGCCACCCAGGTTCCCCTGCCTCCATATTTCTAAGTGACATGCTTAGATTACTATTTTTGGACCTATCAGTTTTAGAAGTTTTTTTATTGACCTATAATGGTAGATTCTGGCATATCTTCCATATGCCTTTCCCTCATTTCCCTTCCTTAAGTTCCTCCCTTGACCAAAACAGAATTATATTTCAAATTGTGGCCATATTAACAATTTGTTTTTACGTTATTATACTTAGACAAATATTATATACTGCTAAGCCAGTCTTTGTGGCTAAGGCATGACTACTTTAATTTTCCTTGTTGTTAGTAATTGTCTTTTTTGTTTTCTTGGCTTGGTTTTTAGTGTTTTTATTACTCATTTTTCCCCCCTGGTTTTCAATTTCTTTTTGTTGGTGTGTACTCTCTTGGATTCCTTGACTTTATATTCCCTTCCATCGAGTAAGATTCTAATTTAGTTATTAAAATCTTAATTTCTAAGAACTATTTCTTGTTCTACTTCTTCTTTAACGTGGTAGTCTTTTCTTGTTTCATGCGTAGAACATCTGTACTTTTTATTCCCCCCCACAAAGATTGATTGATTCATTCATTCGTTGATTACAGAGAGAGCATGAGGCAGGGAGGGGCAGAGGAGAGGGAAAGAGAAGCTACCAGATTTCTGTGCTCAGTGCAGAGCCCCATGTAGGGCTCGATTCCATGACCTTGAGATCACAACCTGAGCCAAAACCAAGAAGAGAACACTTAACCGACTGCGTCACCCAGGTGCCCCCAACATCTCCACTTTTTCATGATATTCATTATAGTTATTTTGGGCTTGTCTTCTGTGCACTTGTAATAGTATTCATAAGCAAAACATTTATTATTGTTTTCCATGTATATTTCTCCTTCAGGGCTATATTGCCCATATTTTGCCAGTATATATGATAATTAAATTTATTTGTGAAATAATCTAAAATACCGTTTTGCAAGCAGTACGTTACTATAAAGACTTTTATAAATACTATTATAAAGGGAATATAATTTTATTATTTAAAACAAATTTATAATTATCTTGAATAACCTGATATTACTAATTCTTTGAACTGGTGTTTTTTTTTCCTCTAGTTTAAATCTGCTTATTTTAGCGATAGGATTTGATAATTGTGAAAATCTTATTATAAACATTTGTTAAATATCAAACATGTTCCCCCTTTCCTTACCAAAAAAGGGCTTTATTTAAATTGGCCATCTTTTATATAGGCTATTCCATACAATTTCATTTTTATATCTTTTTGTCTTTAGAATTAATTTATCAATGGGAAATGTTCTTTGTAGACATTGGTTTTCTGTCTAGTTTGCTGCCTCGCTCCTTCCATGTTGTTTGCTTATTGCATGCTTTCTATCTTTGTTTTGTGGAGTCAAAAGACAAATCCCCTTTGGCTTATTTTTGTTTGATTTTGAAGAAAATTGTGAACACTTTGATTAGTCCCATGCTAATGTTCCTTACCAACCAAAAATTAGTGATGTCACAGTAAAGAATCATAGATTGTATCTCTCTTGGACAAAAAAAGTTATCTTCAGTATAGATAAGGAAGGAGTATTTTAAAGAATTTGGTTGAGGATGAGGATGGGGCAAAGGCTGTTTTTGAGTATACTACATTTTGATGAATTCAAATTACAGTTTTAACTTTACCATTATAATGAACGCATTTGATTGAAATTGCTTAAAATCTAGGCTGCCATATCAATCACAATTATTTTACTGGTGTTATGGAAGATAAATATTACTGTTGACTTGCAACAATATTCTCATTTTGGGGGTGAAATAAAAAGTGAACATGGAGAAAGAAACGCCTTTACTATTTATTTTCTTTTACATATTTTAGCATCATGGTGCGTTCACCAGGAAAACCTCACAAGTCCTCAGAACCTGTTATTTCAGCTCAAGAGCAGGAGACTGAGGTATGGCTTTTGTGAAAAGGCAGTTCTTGAAAGGATTATATGCATGCTTAAGATTTTGTTGCCAGCATTTTTTTAAAAGTTGTTCTTTAACTTGAGTCTGAGATATAGTTAATTCTTCATCCTGAGGGAAAATGTAATAGCCGAAGCTCTAAAAATAAAGGACTGGATTTTTCTAAGTACATTAAAAAACAACAACAAATGTTCCGTTGTTTCTTTGTTCTTCGTTCAGACTGTGTTGTATGGCAAACTGGTTGAAGCCAGGCAGAAACAAGCCAGTAAAATGGATGTCCCTCCAGCTATCCTGGCAACAAATAAGATACTACTGGATATGGCCAAAATGAGGTAAGCTGTCTGTCGGCACGTGTTCTAACTTATTTTCTCCTAACATAATAGATTTGTAATGTAGATTGTTTAGTGACAGTACGACTTGGGGTCCAGCTGTCTTGTCTGTGAGGTGACTCCCCAGTCTCCCATGCTGCCCACCATCTCTCCACTGAGCTGTAGTCTTACGTTTCAACGTGAATGAAAACCATTTTCAGCCGTCACATTCAGTGTATATGAAATCTAACTCATTATCCACAAACCCTCCATGCATGCATTTTGTGCAACAACCAAAACTCTTCTCTCTCTTTTTTTTGTCAGCTCATACTTTTATGTTCTCAATAATACATGTTTAAAATGCCTGGTGTTATTTTCACTCCTCTAACGTGGATCCCCGTCTTAGTCCTACTTAAATAGTTGTGAGACTTTTTCATTAAAGCGTTCCTCATGCGTCTGTGTATGCTGTCCTCTCTCTTCTTTGTCACACCCTGTTAGTTCAGACCATTGCCCCTGGGCTGTTGCAGAAGCCTCTTAACTAGTAAATCTTTCCTTCCTCTCTCTGTCTCTGTTTCATCTGATACATGAGACCAAATCAGTCTTTCCTTCTCATGTCCTACTTCTGCCTAACTAGTTCCTAACTGTCTTAACTTCTTTAGCCTATAATTCAGAGCTCTCCATTTATGGACTTAAACATGCTTTTACATCCATGTCACAGAATTTGGAGTGGTTTATCCGACCACATGTTGAAGATCCCCTTTCAAATTCCATGTATTTGTTTATAGTGTTGCTTCTGCCTTGTCGTTTCCTTGATTTCCCAAAACTCCTGCTAGGAAATCCTTCAAGATTTTCTCCATGAAGTCTTTCATGCTCTTAGCAGCAAAGTAATTCCTTTCCCCTGAATTCATAAAAGACTTTAAAATGTAAATTTAGAAGATGCTTCTGTGACACATCTCACATAAAGCTTTATTTTTTATTATCGGTATATGTGCTTGTATCTTCCAGATTTTAAACTTTGAATAAAGACACTGTTTTCCTCATTATTTTGTGTCTTCCAAAGCACCTGGCACAATGCCTAATAAAGATGAGGTGGTCAATAAGTATTTAGAAGAAATTATTTCCAAAGAACAGTTTTTGAAGGATACCCGAGTGGCTCAGTGGGTTAAGCTTCTGCCTGCTGCTCCCCCTGCTTGTGCTCTCTCTCTCTCTCTCTCTCTGACAAATAAACAAATAAATAAAATCTTTCAAAAAATTTCTATCTTTAAAAGAAAAAAAGCAGTTGTCTGATAATTGTATTCACCCTTTTTAAAAAATTTTTTATTTATTTATTTATTTATTTATTTTTTAAAGATTTTATTTGACAGAGATCACAAGTAGGCAGAGAGGCAGGTAGAGAGAGAGAGAGAGGAAGGGAAGCAGGCTTCCCTCTGAGCGGAGAGCCCAATGCTGGGCTCGATCCCAGGACCCTAAGATCATGACCTGAGCCGAAGGCAGAGGCTTTAATCCACTGAGCCACCCAGGCGCCCCTTAAATTTTATTTATTTATTTGTGAGAGAGAGAGAGCGCACAAGCACAAGCAGGGGGAGCAGCAGACAGAGGGAGAAGCAGGCTCCCTGCTGAGCAAGGAGCCTGATATGAGACTCTATCCCTGGATCCTGGGATCATGACCTGGGCCAAAGGCAGATGCCTAACCAACTGAGTCACCCAGGTGTCCCAATTATATTCATCTTTTATACTTTCTTTTAAAAAATTGTTTTTGTCATTAAGTTTCATCCAGAAGATATTACTTTAGTGTAGAAATTTTAATAATATAGTGCTTATATTTTAAAATAATTATTTTATTAAAAGTAAATATTCAAAAACCACATTTTAATATTTAGTGAAGACAATTTAAAGGAAAATGAGTAATAATTAGATTGGCAGATTTTTAGAAAGTAGACATCATACAATCTCTTGGATTTTGGACACCATAAGAAATACTGAGTTAAAAGCCTAAAGTAGTTAGCAAGTTTATTATTACAGGTAAATAGTTTGTATATAATGAATGAGATTTTCTTTTGTATTTCTTAGGCTCTTGGTTATCCTCAGCGCCTCATAGTTTTTTTTAATATCTGTAAAAATAGTAATAGTGATAAGATCAGTAATAGAGTAGAACATTAGCCTGTTTCTTCATGCTAATGGCCTGTTTACCAGTTAGTACTGTGTTTTTGTGGTGATAATGGTGGTGGTGTTTTTGTTCAAAAACTGCTAAAATTATAAATCTTTAAATGGTGGAAAGCGAAGAGAAACATCATTACTTATATTACACATTGGTTTTGGTTAATGGAAAAATATACGTTTATTAAGTATTAATATGAAGCTAAACATCAGCTATGTTGCTGGAGTGATAATGTTTTAGTGGTTTCTTGACTTTTTAATTTTTTTAAATGACAGACCTACTACATTTGAAAATGTGAAAAGGATCGATGGTGTGTCTGAAGGCAAAGCTAATATGTTGACCCCTCTGTTGGAAGTCATCAAAGATTTCTGTCAAATAAATAGCACTGAGGTAAAATACTGTGGTTTGCAGGAACTGTGAGAGAATAAACATTTTTTGATGATTTAAAAAACACCTTTCAAAAGCAACATTTTCTCCCTTTACAGTTGACCCTTGAGCAATGTGGGAGGTTAGGGGTGCCGACTCCCACACCATCAAAAATCCATGTATAATTTTTGACTCCCCCAAAACTTAACTAGAAGCCTTACTGAGAACACATACAGTTGATTAACACATATTTTGTATGTTATATGTCTTATTTACTGTATTCTTTTGTTGTTGTTGTTTTTTAAGATTTTATTTATTTATTTGAGAGAGCGAGAGAGCCAGAGAGCACAAGCAGGGATGGGGGGAAGGGCAGAGAGAGGAGAAGCCAACTTCCTACTGAGCTGACCGCCCGACTCTGGGCTCAATCCCAGGACCCTGAGATCATCACCTGAGCCGAAGGCAGATGCTTAAAAGACTGCGCCACACAGGTGCCCCAAATACTATTTTCTTATAATAAAGTAAGGTAGAGAAAAAAAAGTTATTAAGAAAATCATAAGGGAGGAATGCCTGGGCGGGTCAGTTGGTTAAGTGTCCGCTCCAGTCATCATCTCAGGGTCATGAGATCAATCCCTGCGTTGGGCTTTACACTCAGCCAGGAATCAGCTTGAGAATCTCTCTCTCCCTCTCACTCTGCCTCTCTCCCCTGCTCGTGCATACTCTCTCTCTCTCTCTCTTTCAAATAAATAAATCTTTAAAAAAAATCATAAGGGGTTGATGAAGGGAAGGTGGGCAGGGAATGGGTTAAATGGGTGATGGGTATTAAGGAGGGCACTTTTGTGACGAGCACTGGGTGTTGTATGTAAGTGATGAATCACTAAATTCTACTCCTGAAACCAATATTACACTATATGTTAAGTAACTAGAATTTAAATAAAAACTTGAAACAAAACAAAATCATAGGGAAGAGAAAATATGTTTTAGTGCTGTACTATATTTATTGAAAAAATCTGCATCTAAGTGGACCTGGCCACTTCACACTATCTTGTTCAAGGGTCAGCTGTGTTTTCATTTCCACACTGGACACTTAGAAAATCGATTCAGATTACTCCTGTAGTAAATCACCTACAAAAACATGTTACCTAATTTTTAAGATGATGCTTAAGTAGTTGTCCAGGCTGCTCATGTCTTTCTGTTCTGTTGAGTGATTTTGCTTTTAAATTTGAAAAAGTACTGTGTTTTAGGTTGATAAATTATTTTACTTTCAGATGGAGATAGAAATTAAAGCTGCAAAGTTATCTTTACTATCACTTGGCGTGGAGCCCAGCCACTTTCTTTTCTGTTTTATTTATTTTATTCCCTAATTACCCTCTCCTTCCAGTCATGCTGTCCTTTGATATTAAGTAGAATACATGTTCTTCTCTTCAGTCTTAATAGCCTTTTCTTCCTATTCTTTTATTACTCTTTGCTCCACCATAAATGGCCATTTCTACAAGGATCCTTTGGGTTTCTTTCTTTAAACCCCACATGCAGACTCTATTAACTTTGTGTACTCCAACATAGAAGGTAAGGCATTGCGAGGCGGTAGAAAGTCTACTAGACTCAGAATCAGGGAATTAGGAATTTAATTCTCCCATAGTCTACCTGTTGAAGCTGAATGTGTTCTTTTTTAAAAGATTTATTTGACAGAAGCTGGGGGAGGAACAGAGGGAGGAGGAGAAGCAGACTTCCTGCTCAGCAGGGGGCTGGGGGAGTGTATGGGGCTCCATCCCAGGATGCTGAGATCATGAACTGAGCTGAAGGTAGATGCTTAACTGACTGAGCCACCCAGGCACCACCACACCCCCCCTTTTCTTTTTAAAGAGTTTATTTATTAGAGAGAATGAGGAGGGGAGGGACAGAGGGAGAAGGACAAGCAGACTCCCCATTGAGCAGGGAGCCTGACTCTATGTGTTCTTTAACATCTTTAGGTTTCCATTTCCTGACTACACAATGGAAAGGATACTTTCCTTCCCCATATTAAGGAAACAATAGATTAATTAGACAGACAAAAGATAGGGATGCCTGGGTGGCTCAATCATTTAAGCATCCGACTCTTAAGATTTTGGCTCTGGTCATGATCTTGGAGTCCTGGGTTCTGCACTCACAGGGTGTCTGCTTGTCTCTCTCTCTCTCTCTCTCTCGTTCCTTTTGCCCCTTCCTCTGCTCACACACACACTGTCTCTCAAATAAATAAATAAAGCTTAACAAAAAAAGAAAGACAAAGGATAAGGAGTGGGTATAAAAAGTTGGAAGCATTAAAAATATGGAAGGCAGTATTAAGAGGTTGTTTTCACTTCTAAGAATCTCCTGTAAGCTTTGGACACGCACATTTGGATCCCCCTTTAAAAATCTGATATGTCTCATCACAGAATAGTTGTGTTTTGGGGAGTAGATTTGCATTATCCTTCTCTGTGAGCTTGTTTTTATGTATACATGTGTGCATATGTGAATGTAAGTGGTTACATTGGAATGCAAATTCATTAATTTATCATGAGAAATGTAACTGCGAAGTTTCACCTGACCCAACCAGCGTCTTCTCCTCTCCTATTGAATAAGAAGGTATATGGGAAGCCAGCTTATCTGACAGTCGCTTAGAAAGCCTAGAATAGCACGAGGGGGATTCTGATAGTGTCAGAGTAGTCTGTCACATCCAGGCAGATTAGGCATTGTCCTACATTACTTGCCAGGGAAACTGTTACATTCAAATCTAGTTAGCCAAGATGTCTTGTCATCTGAACAGTGCTTGGGTAGGTATTGCCTGCTTTGGTCCTTCTGCCTTTCCTATTTTTGTTTCCACTCATTTCCTACTTATGTTTCCATTGATCACTCTCTGTTCATATAGTCTTTTATCTACATAGAGAATGATTTGATTAGACTTTTGCTTAATTAGAATAGCCCTTCCTTCTTGAGATTACTGCCCTCATAGTACTTTGCTTAGTGTTTTGAATGTTCCTAAACCCTTTAGTCTCACATTTATAGATGACATCATGATTTTGTCCTATAAGTAATAAAATCTTTATGGATTTGCCAGTATAATTCACAGTGGTCACATTTCTAAGACCTTGGTCTCGGGATATCCCATTGTTGCCTCCAGCTATCGCCTATACTGACAGACTGAGGAATCGGGCTAATGGGGTCTGATATTAAGCATGCCTAGCAATTTAAGGCCAGATTTGACAGTGTTAAGGTCTCAGATAGAAACACTTCATTTAATAAAAAAATATTCTTCCTTGAAAATCTAGAGGTGCCTAGAAACAACTTGTGGTATTGTCTAGCTTCTTTGTTCCCCAAACTGCATTGTCCCAGTGACATTAGTTCCGTTGAACTAATCTACAGACTCACTTATTTATTTAGGGTAGAAATGGACTGCCGTGGGTTACAATACGCCAAGTTCTGTTGGATTTAATTCTTTTAAATTGGTGCTTAGGTTTTGAAAAGTAAAGTTGGCATGGGGAAAGCTATTCTTAATCCATGCGAATCATACATCATATAATTCTATCATAACTCTCACTTGGTCTTTACCTTTTTTTCAGGCTCTTAAAAAATTCCACTATTGCGGGGCGCCTGGGTGGCTCAGTGGGTTAAAGCCCCTGCCTTCGGCTCAGGTCATGATCCCAGGGTCCTGGGATTGAGCCCCGCATTGGGCTCTCTGCTCAGCAGGGAGCCTGCTTCCTCCCCCCTCTCTCTCTCTGCCTGCTTCTCTGCCTACTTGTGATCTCTGTCTGTCAAATAAATAAATACAGTCTTTAAAAAAAAAAAATCTACTATTGCTCTATTAATCTCATTTTTCAATCCTTTGTCTGCTTTTTCTCTTTTAAACGTCTCCTAAGGAACCATATTTAAGAATTTACATAATGCTTCAAGTTTAGAGCCACAGTTTGTATGTATCTTTTTAAACTATATGTATATAGTGGTAATGTATTTACTTACAAAACGTTAGCAGAATTTGTGACTATGGTATCAAATTTGAATATTAATTTGGTTTATTCATTCATTCAGTATTCACTTCCAAAGCACTTCCAGAGATTAAGGGACTAATTTAGAGTCAGAGTGGTCAACATTATAGTTCATTTTTTAATTTCCTCTTTGTTGGCTAAAGGGGAGACTAGAAATTTCTAGCTTTATAACCATGTTTACTATTACAGATATCTTATTTAAAAACTTATTCCCTCCATCCTTATTTTACCTTTTTAGATCAATATGTAAAAAAACAAAAACAAAATGAAAACAAAAACAAAACCTTTTTCAGCTCTTCATAAAAAGGGGATTTTTGACCATTCCTTTGAAGTTTTGTGTGTTTTTTTTTCCCTCATGCCTAATGATCATACTGATGCTTTATCATTATATAGATATTATTATCGATCATTTGTGTTACATTTAAAATTTTGTAGACAGACCTCTTTTCAAAGACAAAACCTCAGGAAGAACAAAGGAACAGCGTGGTGGCAAAAAATGAAGCATGCTCCCTTTCACAGCCTGTGGCCATCACGTATTACTTATTCCAAGAAAAGAAGTTGTCTTTGGTTAGTGTTTTACTTTCAAGTTGACAGATTTTCAAATTTATCTAAACATGTGTTTTTATTAGCTTTTCAAATAGTAAAATTGTGACTTGGGATAAATTTCTTCTAATCTTGCAGTATTTTATATTGTTTCATTTTATATTTAATCTTAGACTAGAATGTCATTTTCTTTTTCTGCCAAACCTACCTTTGTCAATTAATTAAAAAGAGTAAGTGCACTTTTACCATGGTTACTTTGTAGAGGTTGTATCAGAGGTTCTGCTGAACATATTTAGAGCTTAGGGATATTAGAGCAGTCTGGAGCCTTACACTATCACTAACAAGCTAATATTTTAAGACTGTTTTTTTTTTTAACTGGGATTAATAGTTTAAAAACTGTTAGCATATGTACTGATAAGAAATAATCTCCAAGATACATTAAGGAAAAGGAAGATGGAGAGCAGTGTGAAAAGCATAAATGTAAGGGTGTGTATATATGTATGCTTATATATTAACATATTTTTGTGTATGTATACAAAAATGTGTAAACTATCTCTGGAAGGATGTCCAAGAAGCTGGAAATAAGTTTTTAAAAAACAGCTTGCTTTTCACTCTAGATCATCTACTATTATTATCTCTATTTTAAACCATGCCTGATTGGTCTTTGAAAAAAATCTTAATTACTGTGAAAAATGGCCACACTTAATGTTTCTTCACTGTTCTGCCTTAGTCCTTAAGGCTGTTGAGGTTTCTTTTAAATATACAAAATGAAGAGTATAACTTAGTGGAATAGGGACAGAATTAGGCTTCCAGCTAGGTTTAACTAATTTGAATTCCTATCCTCTCGGTCATTAAATTGATTAGGGAAAGGCTATATGGTCCAGTGCCTGCTTTTCCTGTTCTCTGTGTCTGTATTCACTAGGCTATATTATACTTCTTATTCTGGTTAAAATACAGTATAAATAAAAAAAAACAGTTTATAGCTTGTCTTCATCACTTAATAGATGTTCTAATTAAACAGTCAGATTCCTGAAATTAAAAGTACAAAAGCCATTACAGAGGAAACCGAACAATTCCATTGTATTATTTTTGAAGTGAATTGCATGATAAATAGAAATTTTAAGTTCAGTTTCTTATTTAAATAGTAACTTATATGTATGTGTTAAATATGCTTATAAATACATAATTTGACCATATATATAGTATAACTGAATACAGTACTAAGAAGATTTGGTGTAGCCTCCAAATTTTCTGAGTAAAGTGCATTCTGATACTCAGCCCTGATACATGGTTTCATGTGTTGTATTATATATTCATGATTAAAAATATGGAGTGGTATATTTTCATTGATATCTTTTGCTATTTTTTTTTATATTATTGTGTAATATCATGGTATAATTATGTGTTCCTCCCAGGGGTCTGAGAGGGTCTGTGCTAGTTAACCACAAAATTAAACATGCCTAAGGACTAATTAATCAGGAGCAATAATACAATTAATTCTAGGTAATTTGATGCCTGGTATCCAATAACCCTGATATTATGCACACATGGCTCAGACCGTGTAGTAGAAAAAGGTAGACATTTAATGAAGGTAACTTAAAACCTACCTTTGAAGGCTGAAAATACTGCTTTAAATGCTCCGTTCTGTGAAAGTACAGCCTTCACATAAATACAGTCCAAATTCAGACTTCCAAGATGCATTAAAAGAAGGTATCATGAAATAATCTAGAGCTGCGTAAACTTCCTGAGTGTTGAAAAGAATGTTTTATCAAATGTACATCTTAAATGGATTTGGAGCTCCTTTTGTTTAAAAAGCTACATAAAATATGTAACACCATCCTAAATCTAAAACAATTCATGTTAAGTTTAATGCTAGGCGAAAAACAACAGCTCTTGATAAATTGTGGTTATTATTTTATGAATGGAGCCAATATAAAACACCCTATTAAAGTTTTCTCAAGAGCCTTTTATAGAATGCATCTGGAGCCTTACACTGCCACTAAGCATTTTAGGATTTGTCTTCTTGGACATTCACATAACTAAAGTACCATGTGTTAGTTCAATTTTACAGAATATTGGATTACAGTTTATGATATTTTCAAAAGGCTGTGGCAGTTATTAGATTTACACAGAATGAGTAGTCTCTGCCACTAATAGGTTTTTGAAGTGAATAATTACAGAGGGATGAGGATTGAGTTCTTAGCTAATGCTGGAGGATTTTGTTTTATTCACTGTAGCAAGTATAAAAGGTAGAACATGTGTAAAGATCTATAATGTGGGTAGTTTTAAAGAAAGAGTAAAAAAGAAAATTTTAAGTGAAAGTTCAGTACATTATTTCTCAGTGAACATAGACTCCCTGAAGGTTTTGGACTTTTATTTACATATGGTACATTGCAAACTTTTAAGACCTCACTGGTGGTTTTGCTCCTGTTTCTCTAGATAAGTATAGCCAAGGAGAGGGTTATGCCTGTCACAACGGTTGGGATGCACTTAACCCAAGCAGTGAAAGCTGGCTGCCCACTTGATATGGAACGAGCCGGCCTGACTCCAGAGGTTCAGAAGATCATTGCTGATGTTATCCGAAACCCTCCCATCAACTCAGGTGATCGCTCTGACCCTAGTCTGCAGCCTTAATGACTTGAGTCATTGAACCCAGGGGAAGTAAACAAGCAATCCACTCGTATTTTTCACTTTACCAGCATTAACCCCTTATGCTACAAGGGAAACTTTACTTTTGTAATGCTTTTTCTGTTGTTTTTGAAAAACAGTCTTTCTTCCCATTATCAGAGGAAAGTCTGAGTCTGAGAAATTCCTGTATTCCTTTGCAGCTTTATGACTTCTACTCCCATCCCCAAACGGTGGGCTTTCATCATTTTCTAACTTCTACCTTACCTCTTGGAACAAACACATTTTTTTCCATATTCATTTCTCATAGCTTACTGATTTCTCATTTTCCCCTAAATCTTACAGATTCCTTGTCATTGGCCCACGTAAGTAATCTTTCTAAGCAGTGCAATCAGTGGTCTCAGTCGCTGTGGTGTAAGGGATGGTCCTTGGTCTCTCAGCCCCTTGTAGAAGGGCTTCCTCTTGTCCCTTTGCTGCAGAGTGTCAGCTGTGCTCATGAAGACTGAGCACATTTGCCTGCCCTGCAGAAAGTTTTCGATTATCTCTTTTTTATAGAATTAAGGATGAGGTACCTCAGAGGATTTTTTTCCCCATAAATGTACAAACTAGATGTGTTTTAACTCAGTAAATTTTCAGACTCTTAGGACAGAACAGTAGACATACAGAAAGCCTTATCTCAGGAACTGCAATGCAAATACTTAAATTTTTATTAACTCGAATTCTTTCCCACTTGGGAACAACTAGGTGGTTCCCCCAGAAATTTAGAAATAGGGGAAATACGATCACCCTCTGAAAGTACAATCAATACTGTACTAAATTGGTCAGAACAAAAATATTAAAGTCACCTTAAAGACAGCATTGGGCACCTGGGTGCTCCCCAGGGAGCTGGGTCATCCCTTAGGGGACTGACTTGATTTTCACTCGGGTCTTGATCTCAGGGTCATGAACCTGAGCCCCAAGTTGGGCTCTGCGCTCAGCACAGAGTCTGCTTGAGATTTTCTCTCCCTTTGCTTTTGCCCCTCCCCCTGCTTGTACTGTCTCTCTAAATAAATAAACTCTTTAAAAAACATATTTTAAAAGACAGCATTAATTCTGAACTCAAGAAAAACTTGACTGAAGTGTAAAGAAAGAACACCTTCATGTGTTGCATTGGTCAACTGTGGAAGCACAGGAGAAAGACAGGGACAAATCTGGGCAGTGGTCATCTAAATTATTCTCAGGGAACTAAATTTTTCTTCCTTTTTTTCTTAAAACATTATTTACTTATTTATTCAAATTTCTTTCTTTCTTTCTTTCTTTCTTTCTTTCTTTCTTTCTTTCTTTTTAAGATTTTTATTTATTTATTTGACAGAGACACAGTGAGAGAGGGAACACAAGCAGGGGGAGTGGGAGAGGGAGAAGCAGGCTTCCTGCTGAGCAGAGAGCCCAATGTGGGGCTTGATCCCAGGACCCTGAGATCATAACCTGAGCTGAAGGCAGATCCCTAACGATTGAGCCACCCAGATGCCCTGTTATTATTATTATTATTATTACTATTTTAAAGTAATTTCTCTGCCCAATCTCTCTATAAGGCTCAAACTCACAACTCAAGAGTCCCGTGCTCTCCTAACTCAGCCAGCCAGGTCCCCTACCATATTACAGTTATACTGCTGATTATTTACAAGAAGGAAATAGCAATTTCTAATCCTGGCCAGCGAGACTTCAAGTATACTAAAAGCCTGTTGATAAGTTATGCCAAGATCTTATTTGAGGAAAATAACAACTAATTCTGCTTCTATATCACTTCCTCACTTTCTGGTTACAATTTGAGTTTTCGTGTAGGTCTGTCTATAGTGAAAGTATGCACTAGTCATGCTAATCTGGGTTCTTATCTATGTGAAATTATAAACCCATTATTGTAAATCAGTGAATTGACAATCTGTGAACATGGTTAATGTGGATCTATTAAGGTAAAGTTAGGTTTCGAAATCTGAAAACCTTAGGGCCATATCCTGGACTGTGATAAAACATCCAAAGTAACTTAGCTGTGAGTCCTCTTAGGAGAAAGCTAAACAGCTATCCTGGTCCCATTTCAGTCTTTCTGACTCCAGCAGCCACCGAACTAGAGATTAAGGCAGAGAAAGGAAAGCAGCAATTATTCTATAGTTAGAATTGTGATCATAGAAAACCTCTCTTTCTCCAATGCAAAGTAAAATAGTATTTTAGAGAAGGTCAAAAACTTAGATATCATCTTGATTTTAATACATTTGGTGTTTTTTTTCTTTATGTATGTATGTATGTATAATCTCTCAGGACTTAAAGAAATGTATGTCTTTTGATGAGCTGTTGGATGGTAGGCAGTATTCTCTGAGTTTGTGCAGCCTTTTTTCTTTTTTCGTTTTCCCCTTGTGACTATTACTGGCTGTCTGTCGAAAATCCCGAGTACTGACGGGTGTGTTAGCCTGGTCAGTAAGAGCAAAGGCTCTGGTAACAGCTGATTTACTTTGACATAAGCTGTACCACTTCAAAACCATGTGACTTTGGGTGAATGGCCCAGTGTCCCTAAGCCTCAGTTTCCTTATCTCTAAAACAGGGCAAGATAATGTTGCCTCTTCTTACAGAACTGTGAGAAATAATTAGACACTGACTGACAGAACACTCTGGCACCTATAAGTATTTCGTAGATGGTGATGGTGGCAGTAATGGTGACTATAATGATATGAATGAAGAAGTAAATGGTAAGATCTTAAAGATACCCTCCAGGGGGCCTGGGTGGCTCAGTAGGTTAAAGCCTCCACCTTCAGTTCAGGTGATGATCCCAGGGTCCTGGGATGGAGCCCCACATTGGACTCTGCTCAGTGGGGAACCTGCTTCCTCCTCTCTCTGCCTGCCTCTCTGCCTACCTGTGATGTCTGTCAAATAAATAAATAAAATCGTTTAAAAAAAAAACCCTCTAAATATGATTGCTTTTATACTCTATCCTTTTTAGTAGCTAATTAAGAAAATAAGTTAATAAAAAAGTGTACAAGAAGGGAGATTTTAAAACTGAACTTTATTTTTTTTTTAAAGATTTTGTTTATTTATTTGAGAGAGAGACAGCGAGAGAGAGCATGAGAGAGAAGGTCTGAGGGAGAATCAGACTTCCTGTGGAGCTGGGAGCCCAATGTGGGACTTTATCCCAGGACTCTGGGATCATGACCTGAGCTGAAGGCAGAGGCTTAACCCACTGAGCCCCCCAGGCACCCTAAAACTAAACTTGATAGAACCTTAAGACTTTAATAATTCAGGCTGGTCATAATTACCTTTTTTTTTTTCAAGTACTGAAGAATTTTTGGGCAAATATTATTGAGTGACATAAAATAGATGTTTTAATTTCAGTTCATTATTGGCAGGAGAAAATGGTAGAGGAAGATTTAAGATTCTGTTACTTACCCAATTACTGACAACATCTATTTTATTTGGCTATGGTGAAGAATCTAGGTATTGCTAAGTTGCTTTCCAAATCATACAGTTGTAAAGTTAGGATTTTAGATTTGGGAAGGAAATTGGAAATCATTAAATTTTCACTTTACGAATTCCGCCCTGTTTTAGAGAGAGGAATTGGAGGCCTAGAGAGTTGCAGATTGTTTTAATATCACGTGAAGATTAATGACTAAGCAAGTTTTTCTTTTTACTATACCATGTTAAAGTGTACTGCCAACTATTTAAAGAAAGAAATATGCCAGTTCTTTTTTGGTTTAAGGTTTTATTTATTTACAGAGTGAAAGAGAACGAGAGTGAGAGTGCACGAGTGAGCAGGGCAGGGGTTGGGGAACAGAGGGAGAGAGACAATTCCAATTTGACTCCGAGCTTATGGGGAACCCAAGGTGGGGCTCAGTCCCAGAACCCTGAGATCATGACCTGAGCTGAAATCAAGAGTTCGTCAGACACCCCAAAGTATGCAGTTTCTAATCCTGATAAAAGATTTGGGTTTATAAATTTCTAATTGACAGGTAAAATAGATGTACTTAATTATATTCAGTTTAACATATTTGTATGTATAGTGCCTTTAAATATTCTCTATCTAGTCTCCTCTAAATTTTGATTTTAGCAATTTTAATTTCTGACATTAGACAGCTTTTTTTTCCCCTTAAGATTTTATTTATTTATTTGACACAGAGAGAGAGAGAGAGAGAGAGAGAGAGAGAGATCACAAGTAGGCAGAGAGACAGGCAGAGAGAGGTGGGCGTCGGGGAAGCAGGCTCCCTGCTGAGCAGAGAGCCCGATGTGGGGCTTGATCCCAGGACCCTGAGATCATGACCTGAGCTGAAGGCAGAGGCTTAACCCACTGAACCACCCAGGTGCCCCAGACAACTTTTTAAATTAAAAAATATTAAAGCCAGGGTACCTGGGTGCCTCAGTTGTTAAGCATCTGCCTTCAGCTCACCTCATGACCCCAGAGTCCTGGGATCAAGTCCCACATCGGGCTGTCTACTCAGCAGGGAATCTGCTTCTCCCTCTACTTCTGCTCTCTCTCTCTCTCTCAGATAAATAAAATCTTTAAAAAAAATTAAAGTCAAACAATATATAAATGTGAATATAAAAATTGCATATAAAATTGCATAGCCTGATTCAACAAATATCTGAGAGAAGAGAAGCATCTGTAATCATTAGTGACTAAAACAGTATTTAAAACATTTATCTTTACCATTATATACTGAATATAGCAAATAAATTTTCATTTAGAGATAAATACTAAATTCTAAAGAAGGGAGAACACTTTTAAATATACTTATTAAATACTTAATTCATCTTTCTGTCAGTACACTGTGTGTAGGTTATACAATACAATATGAAAAAATATATTATTGTAGTTTACTTCCAAAGCAAAAATTGAGAAAGTTAAGGTTATGGGAACTCAATTTTCTTTTGATTATATGTTTATGGTGTGTAAGACAACATTTATTGATGTGAAATTTTACTTTTGAATTCTTGTTTTTCCTTGATAAAATACTATTTGTTCTCCTATTTGAGAAAGCATTGTGCAGATGGGGGTTCCTGGGTGGCTCAGTGGGTTAAGCCTCTGCCTTCGGCTCAGGTCATGATCTTGGGTTCCTGGCATCTGGCCCTGTATCGGGCTCTCTGCTCAGCAGGGGTCTGCTTCCCCCTCTCTCTAGGCCTGCCTCTCTGCCTACTTGTGATCTCTCTCTCTATATCAAATAAATAAAATCTTCAAAGAAAATTAAAAATAAAATAAAAAAGAAAAAAAAGAAATGCAGATGGGCTTACTACATTAATGATTCAGGTATTTTTTTTTTAAATTTAATTGTAGCTATCTCTCATAATTTGGTGTTCAAATGAACAAGTTTGATTGGCACTTAAATTTTTCAAAATTCTAAATTGAGAATTCTCTATGTTTTGTTATGGCATAATCTTATACCTGAAAATAGAGTAATTCTGAGTTGAGAAATCATATGTATTATTTCATGCTGTCTTATTTGCTAAGTACGTTTTGTCCTTGTAATTTAACATTTAAAGGAATTCTATAACATTTTAATCTTTTAGTTTATCCACACTTATGTAATTTTAAGCTTCTTTTATGGAGTTGAAATTCTAACTATGCTTAATAATAAATTAAGCAAGGTATTTAATGAGGTGTCTAGGTAATATTTTGAATAATTTCATTCTTCCATTCTTTATGTGCATGTAACTGGAAAATTAAGGGTGGCTTCTAAGGGACCTGCCACAAAAATAGGAGTAATATGATCTCTTTTAAAGCACTGAAGGAGTGCAGCTGGTGTTCATTATTCTCCCAATAGAAATTTTCAGTATTTACTTGCCTGGAAAGTTAGGATAGAATCAGGTGTATCTTTAATGCTAGATGCCCCTTTTTTGCATAAGTGTATTGTAGGATGACTTTAAGGTACAAATGTAGAGGATTTACAGAAATGTGTAAATGAATTTATGGATTTTCTAGTTATATCTAGAAATTATATTCAGATTATAGTACAATAACTTTGTATACTTGTTAAATCACTAACAGTGGTTTAAAACCATAACTAAATGATACATCATAGTTTTATTTAAAAAAGACATTCTAATTTTAGAAACATTGTTTTGATGCAATAAAATATCTCATTTTTCCTTTCAAAATAATTCATTGAACCCATGATGCTATGATAGTTCAAGATTTTTGAACTATGTTTCAAAAAAATTGTCTTATAAAATGTACATTTACAGTGTGATGAAATAAAGGGTGCATAGCTTCTTTATCCAATGTTTAAATACCCATAGAAGAAAATGAATTTAACATAATGTAGTTATGTTAATTGGCTAGAGTACAGGAAAATTTGTATGGTTTTTCTATTTTTTTTTTTGTATTTTTTTTTTTAAAGATTTTATTTATTTATTTGTCAGAGAGAGAGGAGCGAGAGTGAGCACAGACAGACAGAATGGTAGGCAGAGGCAGAGGGAGAAGCAGGCTCCCCACCAAGCAAGGAGCCCGATGTGGGACTTGATCCCAGGACGCTGGGATCATGACCCAAGCTGAAGGCAGCTGCTTAACCAACTGAGCCACCCAGGCGTCCCTGTATAGTTTTTCTAAAGCAACATTATCCAAGAAGAAATGTGATACAAACCATATATGCGATTTTATTTTATTTTTAAATTAAGACAAATTCTTTTATTGAAATATAGTTGACATACAACATTACATTAGTTTCAGATGTACAGCAGAGATTCAGCAAGTCTATATGTTATCCACAGTTTGTAATTTTCAATTTTCTACTAGCCACTTTAAAACGTCGAAAAAAAAAAAAATAGGGCACCTGGGTAGCTGTTGTTTAAGCCTCCATCTCTTGGTTTTGGCTCAAGTCATGATCTCAGGGCCCTGGGATTGAGCCCTGGGTCAGCCCCACACTAAGAATGGAGTCTGCTTAAGATTCTCTCTCTCCATCTCCCCATGCCTCCATTAATCTCAAGTGCCTGATTGCTCTCTCTCCCTAAATAAAAATAAGTTTGAAAATCTAAAAAAAAAAAAAAAGGTTAAAAAAATTGAATTAAAAAAACAAAAATAAACAGTTGTAATTAATTCTAATGATATAATTTAATTAGCCCAGTATATTAAAATGTTATCATTTTAACATATAATCAATATAGAATTATTATGAGATATTTGTGTTTTTTGTACTAAGCCTTTGAAATCAGGAATGTATTTTACATTTATAGCTTATCTCAATTCTGATGCCAAATTTTAATTGAAAATACTTGATTTGTATTTAGCTTTCATAAACTTTACAATTGAATAAAGTAGATACTCTGTGTTCCAAACATTCTAAAATGTTTTCAATAATTGAATCAAATATCAGTTGTTTTTTTTCCAAGTATCACCTTTTAAATTTAATTTCAGATTGATGAATTGAGTTTCTTAACCATCCTTGCCGCATTTCAGGAGTTTGTCAGCTACATGTTGTTAGTACTCATTGTAGCAGAAGCACAATTACAGAGGTAGTTTGGCAATACCCATGAAAACATAAAATGTGTTTAACCTTTGAACTAGCAATCCCACGTCTAAGAATCTAGAGATATGGATAAAAATGTGTAATATAATGTTCTTTGGGTCATTTTGTTTTCAAAGAAAAATTGAAGACAAATGATAGGGAACTCAAAGTAAGTTTGGATAGACAATACAAAAGAAGATGCCTCAGTCATTAAGAAATTAATGAAGTAGTGAAATTGGCCAAATTTCTGTGGTATTTCGATGGCATAATGACTGAAGGGCAAATAGAATTTTAGTTGGTCAATAGACATAGTAGTCATATTGCTAATTTTATTACATTTAGAGGTAAAATCTTATTTTCCAAGATTTTGATTAGGATCAGTTTTATATCTTAACACTTTTAAGTAACAGAGTATAGGCTAAATATATACCCCATGGTGCTAGTTTCTATTAGCTGGGTAACCACCTCTTGCTGGCGTGTTTTTTTTTTGTTTTTGTTTTTGTTTTTGTTTTAAGCTTTTATTTGTAGGAATGTCTGAGTGGCTGGCTCAGTCTGATAAGTGTCTTTTTTGCTCAGGTCATGACCCCAGGGTTCTGGGATCAAGTCCCCATATCAGGCTCCTTGCTCAGTGGGGAGCCTGCTTCTCCCTCTGCCTGCTGCTCCCCCTGCTCGTTCTCTCTCTGAAAAACAAATAAAATCTTTAAAAAAAATTTTTATTTATTTGATAGTGCATTCGAGAGAGCACAGGCGGGGAGAGGCAGAGGGAAAGAGAGAAACAGGGTCCCTAATGAGGGAAGCCCAAGTGGGGCTTGATCCCAGGACCCTGAGCCACCCAGACACCACCTGTTGATTTTTTTGTTTTTGTTTTTTAAACTTAACTGCAGGTTTTTTTGAAGTTCAAGAGTAGCAAGATAAGATCTTTGGAAGAAAGGAGAATATAAATCTTGAAAAATAGAATAATTGAAAGACTGCCCTTTCAGGGTGACATTTAAAAATACTTGGATTCTGATTGTTAATTGAATTGGGTGTCAGAAATGTTTGATACCAGTTTTATAATTACATGAAGATGGGTGAAACTGAGCTGCTTAGTTTTATGATACTCTAGAGCATTCCAGATGAATGTGTTGTTGAAAGTGTTTGAAACATAAGTAGTGGACTGTAGGAGATTGCTAAATAATTTGTAAAAGGTGTGAAGACACACAGTCTGAATTGGTTCTGTCGAGTTACAAAAAGTAAAAATTCCTTGATTGTGAAAATAAGTGATTTTTTCCCAGAAAACTCATTTTGTTATATGCATTTTAAATAATTGATATGTTTTGTTATGCTACAATAGCCATTGAAAGGATCTTTTTTTTTATTAGCATCTTATTTACAAGTACGATTAGCTTCTATTTTAAGAGTAAGTTCTATTAGAAAAATAATTGTGGGGACATCTGGGTGGCTCAATGGTTTAAGCCTCTGCCTTCTGCTCAGGTCATGATCTCAGGGTCCTGGGCTCCAGCCCGGCATCGGCATCGGCATCGGCATCGGGCTCTCTGCTCAGCGGGGAGCCTGCTTCTCCCTCTCTGTCTGCCTGCCTCTCTGCCTACTTGTGATCTCTCTGTCTCTGTCAAGTAAATAAATAAAATCTTTAAAAACTAATTGTAATATTTGGAATTTGAAGTGTAACTCCTTTAGAAACAATTCTGTGAAGGTTGGTTTTGGTTCTCAGGGCACCTCTCAAGAAGCAGTTTGAGACATCATTTATACAGAGTCAATGGCATTGACCTGACTTTTAAGTCTTAGAAGCAAGGCTGCAGGTGGTAAGAGGTGAGGGGAGAACATGCTTTACTTCATTTTGGTTTGTAGGGCTTACAGGCATTCTAAAGAGAAACATTTTTTTTTAAGATTTTATTTATTTATTTGATAGAGATCACAAGTAGGCAGAGATAGGCAGAGAGGTGGGAGGCTGAGCAGAAAGCCTGATGTGGGGCTCGATCCCAGAGCCCTGAGACCATGACCTGAGCCGAAGGCAGAGGCTTTAACCCACTAAGCCACCCAGGCACCCGGAGAAACATTTTCTTCGGACACCTTCCTCCTTCCTTTCTACAAAGTATTTCACTCTTCCCAGCTCATAGGTTTCTAAAATGTTCTGTGTAATTTATTTTCAACTCTTGTTTTTTTTTCATCCTTTACAGATATAAATGAAGTTAAACTAATTAGAAAGCTGGTTCCTGAAAACATTGACACGTACCTTATCCACATGGCACTTGAGATCCTGGGAAAAGACTGTGACAACAGACTGTTAGACCAGCTTTCATGTACTTCCAACAGAAAGAGATATTTCCCCAACTCTGAAGAGAGCTGTTCAAGTTCTAAGAGAAGCAGGGAAGCAGTAGGCGCTAATACCAAGGTGTTAATTATATGTAGAATTTTCATACATTGTCGGTTGGTTCGATTTACATATTCTAACACTAAAATGCTGTATTTTTTAAACTGTTACAAATTCTGATATAAGGTTACTTTTTAAAATCTGTGCTCTATTTCCTTTGTTTTTCATAAATCTTATCTGAGAAAAGTGATTTTTTTAAACAACAGAAAAAGGGAAATGTAGCCCATCTATTTAGCTTTTTGTGTGGAATGTCAGCTGAAATTTTACTTCTACCTCATACCGATTTTATATATATATATATATAGTGGAAATCCTTTTTCTTTCATAGACATAGTATTGGCTTTGAACTTATGGCAGTTTATGTAGTTTATGAAAATGAAAACAAATTCTATTATGAATACCCCCAAAACTAGTTTGTCTATCGTTCTGTCATTCCTCCTGCTTTGTTCTTGTCATACTGAATCTCTTAGGTACAAGGAAAATTGTTGCCCATTGTCCTGCGCATATACCATACATATTTCTGAGAAAGACCATGAATTTAGTATTATTTAGTATTATTTTAGTTTTATTAAAATGCTTTGGAAATTATTGCTCTATATGTTGTATGAGATAACTATTTTTTGATGATGATTCTATTAAATGATTGTATAAATTTGAAAATTTAGCCTTTGTTATCTTCCAGGTCTAAAATTTTATGATTCTGTGATAAAAGTTATGAAAACTAGTGATTTACTAAAAAACTATTTTAGTTTCTAGGTCATAAATTGAGCATGGTAGTAGGTGTTTTCTCATAATGTGCATTAGGGATTCCATTTCAGTTTCAAGATAGTCTTTATAGATTTCCAAGAGTTAAACCCAATGTTGGGTGGTAGTAGTGAAATTTGGCCTCTATTCCCAGCCTTTTATTTCTGAAATCTATACCAGATGCCTAAAACCTTGTTTTTTCCCAGCTTCTACCTATCAGTAAAGGAAGAGGTGAAACTTGTTATTTTTTCCTGATTATTGATGCACATTTATATGAATTATTATTTTAGTCACATATTAGCATTTGGCTTTTCCCTTATTGAAATAATATCAGACGCTGACAACAGAGTGGGGAGATTTTGGCGGTGGTGGGTGGATGGGTAGAAGTCATGCTGAGCCTACTGGATTTACCCTCCCCCTCCATTTATGGGAACAAGGATATTGGGGATAGGAAGTAGATTAAGAGATGAGTGAGCCAGCCTAAGTATTTTTCTTTCATCCGACTCCCAAGTACAGAAGGCTGCTTCGAATACTGTAGTCTGTTGGAGGGCTGGTGTCAGATCTTTCCTGTTAACATTCATCTTCTCTGCTGACCTGGATTATATCTCTTAATTTGTTTCATTGGATGAATATGAGGCTTCGGATAAAGAATAATGTCAAAACAAATTCTTTGTATTTGTTGGTGCATTGTTAGTTTTACGCCTATTGTGATTACTGTTAAGATAGAAGCTCCATGATGCCTTTGTTTAATGAAGAAAGATTCTGTCTTGATATTGGTAGTTCTGATTCAAAATATGCAGGTACACAGTGGATTCTTTGAGTACATCTTTTTTTTTTCTTTAAATTTCTGGAAAGTCTTCTTAAATTTTACTTCTTAGAATTTGTCCCATTGCTTTATATTTCTTCTTCAGGGACTTCGACTATATGTTGGATCTTCTTTGCCTAGCTGCAATATTTGTCACTTTCCATGAATTCTTTCTAGTTTTCCATTTCTCCTTAATTTAAAATTTTCTTCTTCATCTTCTTCTTTTTCACCTCCTACTTCTCGGGACAGACTCTGTTATGTTTATTGCTATATTCCTTCTAGTTTAGTATTCACTTCTTTACATTTTTCCTTTTGCTTCTAATTCTTAACTAAACTTTTCTCCTCCATTTTGAATTTTTCTGATTTTGATTTATGATGTTCTTTCATGTTTTGAATAATTTTCTTAATGTTTTTCAACTCATTTAAGAGGTTACAGTTTTATTCTGTATCTTAGCAACTCTTCCGGTGTCCCATTTGATCTTAATACTTTCCTGTTGTTCATTTTCACGTGAAATTAGTTTTCCTGCACTTTCAAAAGAAAGCATGTTTCAAGGTAGTTTTTCCCAAGTTCACAGAGCTCTCCCTTCTGGTATTTTGTGTATTTTTCAAAATATGGAAACTTAGTTTATGAGATATACTCTTTTGTCACTCTTCCCTTTGTCTCTGTTTTACTTGAACTGCTGATTCGATTTCACCCAGTAGTTCTCCCAGAAGGCATTGTGGTAGCTGGTCAGGAGCGTTCACAGGAACTGGTTGCGTTAGCTGAAGACACCATTTATAAGTCATTTGCTGTTGGGGTAGGCAGAAGCCCTCTCATTTTCAGTTGTTGTTTTCCCATTAATCTATCATGGTTTCTGATTTCTATCTGTAGGCTGCTTTGTGGTTCTTCTGTTCTTGGGCACCTCACTGCTTGCCTCTGCTTTCTCTTGTCTAAGTAAGTGGTACTCTGCAGGTCTTATGGCTGGTGGTGGTTTATCCTCACATGCTCAGAGTTTGGATTTCTTTGGGATACCTTTAAACTTAGTTTTATTGTAAATGTAGATTATGAGTTCAGAGTTTTCCTGTCAATTCTGTTTTAATGGTGGGCTTCAGAGAGATTAAAACACTATGCTGCTGCTTCCACCATCTTCCCAGAACCCTCTCCCCCAAATCACCTTCTTTCCTCCTTATTTTTCTTCACTGCCTAAGAGAGAAAGTATGTGATATTTTCTGCCCTGCCACTAAGCTTCATTATAAATTAAAATGTACAATATTATTTATAAACTGTTTTGAGATACTCAGAAAAAAATGCCTTACAAATAATATTATAATTATTATTATTAAAATTCAGTACTTCAGAACAATTAGAATTTTCTTAAGCTTTGCCTTTTTAGGCATAGTTTTTGTTTTGTGTTGTTCTCTAAGAAAGTAGCGCATGCTGTAACTATTTTGTGTTCTGTAATAATGTTAAAGGTTGATCGAAAACATCCTTGTGGTTTTTCACCAAAAGATGAAAGTCACAGAAATTCCCTAAGACTGACTTCTTGGAATCAGCCAACTAGCGATTCAAAAACAGATTTATTTACGGATTCTCATTTAATTCTCAAATAAGATTAAATTAATAAAGTAGTTTTCATGATAACTACATCCAACTTGATTATTATTTTTAGATTTTTCTTAGTGTAGATGAAATTAAATGTGAATATAACATATATATTTCTCTGTTTGCTTACATATATATGCTCACATATACTCAACAAACGAGTTAATGTTTTGTATTTTCAATTTAATGATATTTGTTAATAGAATTTGGAGTATCAGAAACCCCCCCCCCTGAAAATCTCACTGTGATTTCTGGGAATTTTGGTTGACTACTAAAGAAGGAAGTAGTCACTGAAAGGCATTGTTTCTGTTAGGTGACTCAGTTCTCATAATTAAAGTCTCTCCAAAAACTTGTTGTTGAGACTCAAAAGATATAGTCAGTGTAAGTAAGCACTTTCCCTCTTTCTCAGTGAAACAAGATCATTATTATAATAGTGTGGTAAATACTGAAGGTCATATTCTGTAGAAATATTACAGAAGGTAGAACATTTTCAGTGATATTAGCTACTAATTAATGATAATAATTAATGATAATTAGCTACTAATTAATTATAAGTCTTTAATGCCAAGACTAAATCAGGATGTGTTTTGATAGCTTGCATATATTCTCATTCGACCCTCCAGGTAATCCAGTGATGTTATGTACTGTTATTCTCATTTTCTGTGTGAAGAAACTGAGGCTGAAATAACATTCGTAAGGCCATACGTTTAGCAAGTGACTCAATTAGAGCTCAAACCTAATTCTGTCTTTGTTGGCAGTCCCTATTTATTCCATGGTATTCAGCTACAAGACTTAGGGTTTTTTCCTCTGCTCTGTTCTTGTGCAGATGTCATGTTCTGTTTTGCTTTTTGGTTTTGTTATCATGTTAACTTCTTTCCTTTCTCCAGATGCACACAGGTGTTCCAGCTATAATTGCAAACAACTGTAGGCTCCGAGGGATTGTGTTAGTAAGATCTTAAGGGAAGGGGTGCCTGGGTGGCTCAGTGGGTTAAACCTCTGCCTTCAGCTCAGGTCATGATTCCAGGGTCCTGGGATTGAGCCCCACATCGGGCTCTCTGCTCAGTGGCGAGCCTGCTTCCTCCTCTCTACCTGCTTCTCTGCCTACTTGTGATCTCGTTTGTGAAATAAATAAATAAATAAAATCTTTTAAAAAAAAAAGATTTTAAGGGAAGACTAAATATTTCTGGACCAGTTTTATCTCTGCCCAAATGCCTTTTGTCTGTGGCATTATATATCGCCAGTATTTATTATTTCTGAGTCAAATATCGTCTCATGCAGTCTATGTAAATCTAATCTGTTCTCCTGGACTTCTTTTCCCTGTGAGGAAATTTGCTATCCTTAGCCTGTTTTTTTCTTTAGCTTTATTACTAAAGTGTGAGTAGCTCTTTCTTCTTCATTGGATTTCTTTAATTAAGCCAAAACAGCTAATAGGGTTTTGGGTTTTTTTAACCTTTTCTAAATATATGTTTTCACAGTTTTCTGTGTAGGATCTTTGACTTTTTTCCCCACTCTTAAATCTTTTGAAACCATTTTTAAACATAGAAAATGTAACAAAACATAGCAGGTAATTGATGAACCGTATATAGTTTTCATTCTGGAAATTGAATAAATTATGCTTTTTTACCTTCAACTAACAGATACATTATAACTTAGATTGAGGTCACCTTATCATAAAGTCCTTCAGATAGTTCCAATAACTAAATTAACTGCTGGATTCCAAGGTGTGCTTACATTGGAATGATTTGTCTGTCATGTTGGTTTGAGGCTCTTGTCAAACTGAGATAACAGTAATTACTACCAGTTTATGCTTATGGAACATAACTAAAAATTGTTTTATCTTTTTCAAGTGCAGATCACATAATACACAACCACTGCCTTTGGGTTCCTAAATTTTTTTTTTTCAGGGACTTTTAACTTAGGGTCCTGAGGCTTCGTTTGGTGCCTAAGTCTCCTAAAATTGTGCAAAGTATTACGTATGTGTACATTTAGAAGTGAATCTCCAGTTTTTAGCAGATTTCAAAAGACTCTTTGAAACAACAATTTTTTTCATTTACTTCAGTGACTGTTTTTTGAGTATCTGTTATGTCCCAGCAACTCTGCAAGGCACTGATAGTGTTTGAATCACTCTGCTAGTCAGTCAACCTTTGGAGACATAGAAGTACATGCTTTTTCAAACACCTAATGTGATACTGTATGTGTCTGTGTTTGTGTGTATGTGTGGGTGTCTATATGTGCGTGTGTGTGCACCTGAGCAGATGCCTTCCTCGGAACATTAAATTAACCATTTTGGTCAGCCCAAACCAAGTACACATGAGACAGAAATCTGCAATAATATCTAGTTCTTTCCTTCTCAAATGTGTATGTACACTTGAGTGCCCGAGAACAGATAACAAGATGGCAGGAAATTGCCTGAAGAAATGATATAGCGATTTTTGTCTTTTATTTACTTTTTGATCTAGAAGTAAATTCTGTGGCTCTCACTATTTTGTTTTACTCTACAAGGGAAGATAGTGGGTGTATATACAGTAACCTATGTTACTTTTTACAACCGACACACATTTTCAACATTAACATATTTCTTTTTCTGTTTCTTTCCTACAGCCTGCCTCTGTAACCTCAAAGAGAAAATTACCTGAGTGGTTTGCCAAAGGCAGTGAGACTTCAGCTGACACCAGCAAGAAATCAATGGCCAGAACAAAAAAGAAAGGTCTTTTTAGTTAAACTGGCAATTGCCAGAGGAATTGTGTGTGTCTTACTGTATTAGAAGAGGGGAGCTGTGTTTCATTTCTGAAAATAGTGGTGACTGACGAGTACTTCAGTTTACAAATTATTCTAATCCCAAAAGTCAGACTAACCCATTTGTTGAACAGCTAACATCTTAAAACAGCCTTGTGCAGTTTACTAAAGTTGAGTCTTCTGAGAGCCTGAGTGAGTAATCATAGAATAGAATAAATACATTAATCTCCTTTACGCTTCTCTAAGAAACCGTTACTGCTCTGTTTCCTAATCTCTTTATTTCAGCAGTATGTTTAAGGGGGGCCGATTTGATATAAATCACAGACTGGTGGTTGTAGGATGATTACGTGTGCGATAGAAAATCTTCATATATTACCAGCTTTCTTTCTTGTGAACGAAGGAAGCATAGTTATTTTTACAAATTGTCCTTACCATCTTTACAAGAAGCTCTTACACACATTGATAAATGGTATTAGTGGAACAGACCAGTGAAAATGAAACATTCTGGGTTCCATGCATGTAGAGAAAAATAATGTAGCAAAGGAGACCAACTTCACTAGGTAACCATGCACTTTGTATTTTGTATGCTATTATCTTTCAAGTACTAAATTCCTTCATACTGAATATTACAAAATATATATGTTATATATGCATTATATATATATGTGTGTGTGTATATATATATATTTTTAACTTTTACGTAATTACCTTGAGCACTTTCAGTTTTTGAGGATGTTAGAGTTTGATTGTAATCCCTCTTTATGTAGCACAAGTGACTTCGCTATCGAAACCCAGACTCTGACGCTGAGTTTGGTAAACCATGGTTAATATCACTTTAACCAGTTCACCTTACGGACTTTAACTAATGTTTTTGTAACTAAAAATCGCTGTTAATAAAGAAGACATATTGTAGGAGAACTAGAAAATCTGGAGAGATGAAAAGAAGAAAATAAAAATCACTGGTGGTTGTACCCAGCAGATCATCAGTTAACCCCTTCTGTGTATCCTGCTAAGCCTCTGTATTCACTGCTTTTCTTAGTTTGATACATGAATAATAAATGAATGTGTTTTCTTTGTAAAACATTTAAAACACAAAAGATCCCTGTATTCCCATTTTCCTACATCTCATTACCATTCCCTTTCCAGAAAGTAGCTCCCATTAAGTACGTGACTTACAGTTCTCTAGTCATTCCTTATGTATTTACATGCCTTTGCATATATATCTACACATACATTCCTGTTTTTTAAAGTGAGTTAGATCATGCTGTATGCAACTTTCTGCAACAAACTCTTTTCACTTAATGTCATGAAGAACCTCCCATGTCAGTATATATATTGGTCTGTCTCATTGTTTTTTACAGCTACCTACCATTCTATATGGTGAATATATTATATTTTATATAATCACTTTCCTATTGGTGATTTTTGTCTTTTTTTTTCTACTTTATAGATTATTTCTAGAAGTAGAATTAGAGACTGAAATTTATATTTCACTGAATATATTATGAATATTTTTTTTCCCATGTCATTAAATTGTTTTCCAGAGAATCTTTTTTGGTGGCTTTTTATAGTACAGTGATTCTCAAAGTGTGGTCTGCAGCCTTTTAGGAGTTTTTGAGACTCCTTCAGGGAATTTGCAAAGGAAAACTATTTTCATAATACCAAGATGTGATTTGCCTTTTGTCCTATGTTTTTTCCATTGAGGGTGCAAAGCAGTCGTGAGTAAAACCACTGGTACTTAAGTGCAAATCAAGACAATGACACCAGATTACTGATTTTATTAATTCTCAGTCCTTAAACACATCTTTTCAATCTTTTATGTGATGAAATGGCAAGTATGTATGAAACACTTTTGCTCTGTACCAAAGTGTGATGGTTGTCTCCAGGAAAAACTCTTGTTTGAATTGTGAATTGAATTAGTTCTTTTTCCATGGAATATCATTTCTTACTGAAAAAAGAATGACTGATAGAAAACTATGATTGGTTATTGAGACTTGGGCATTTGGTGGATATTTTCTCAAAATTGAATGAAATCATCCTGTCACTTCAAGGAAAACTGATGGTTATTTGTTGGCAATGATAAAATTTGAGATTTCTGGCAGAATTTATAGTTTTGGAAAACTTGTGTCTGCTGCCAGGAGTTTGAAAGCTTCCAATAATGTAAAGGCTTTTCTAATGAGATATTATTCATACGATTAACAAAATTTTTAGAAGATCTACACAACCCAGTGAACTCCAATATTTTCTAGGTGACGAATACGTGATCTTATAAAATCATGCATGAGTAAAAGAGTCATCCAAACTACATAGTGGCCCAATGGATTTTAATGTAGCAGTGTATGAAAACATTTATTTATATGGATTCAGATTGTACACTGTAACCAATCTTTAAGAAATGACAGGTGTCCAGTTGTGGTATAGTTTCAAAGAAGAGTGTCTACAATTATCTGGAAAAGCTATTAAAATACTCTTAATTAAGGTCACACTTTCTTCATATACGTCAACCAAAAGAACATATATTGAATATAGGAGCAGAATGAATGTAGAATCAGATCTGAGACTCCAGCCACTTCTGTGAAGCCAGACAATGCCATTCTTCTATTTTGTGGGGGATGTTTTTGTAAAATTTATTTATGTTATCATATACTGGATTTACTGCTGGTTTTTTTTAAATTAATAAACATTTCTTAAACATTTCTCAGTTTTATTTCTAAAATGTTAAATAACGATAGATTTAATGCACATTAATGCAAAATCTCTTTTGGGTCCTTAATAATTTTTAAGAATATAAATGAAGCTTGAGATATAGTAGATAGAGAACTGCTGACATAGTATTTTATTATATAGATGTACTATGAATTATTTAGCTGATTTCCTATTGCACATTAAATCACATCCAGTTTTCTGCTCTTTTAAAGCTCTGCTTTGAATAGTCTTAAAATGAAATATGTTATAATCTCATGCCAAATAACCAGAGGGAGAGAGTTATTATTTTTTGTCTTGGCTATAATTTTGTATGGACTTTTGGCCTTTTAGCTACATGGCTCTTGATTTATGTTTGAGTTAGCTCCAAGGAGAAGAATTCCAATCTGGATATGGGATTGGCACCAGTGACTTCCTGTAAGCTAGTCTTTGGCCGCAGTATTTGGATCTGGCTAAATTACTCCAATGACAGTGAATCCTGGGACTTTTTATGGTAATGCTGGCACAAATATGTTCTCTTTTCCCTTGCTGATACTAATGAGGAAGCATGAACCTTGGGAACGTTGGAGCAATTTTAGGACCCTGAGGAGTCATCGTTTAGTGAGGCCCCGGTGCTGGGGTAGGCAGAGTAGAAACCGCAGGAAGTCAGGTTGTTGGTGATATTGTCCTGCTACTAGTTCATGCCTTTCCCAAAGTCAGACATATCTCGGAATATTTCATATACACGGGCATTAAATTCCCCTTACTTAGGTTAAACCTGTTTGAATAAGGGTTTTTTGTTCGTTTTTAACTTACAATGTTGTGCACCTGTCACCACAGTACGGTCATGTCATTGATAGACACCCCCAACAACAGACACAAAAGATAATGATGTTTTTTAAATGGCGAAGGATGTGGGAAGCTCATAGAGCTAGTTCCCCAAAGTAGGTGACAAAGCAGTTTGCTCCTTGGTGGAGGGGCAGGCTTCCTAAATCTCCAGGTGCTCCATTTCGCCTGCATTCCCTGTGGAACTTCCATATCCTTCCGCTCTCCCCACCCCGTCCAGCTCCCAACCACTCCCTACCAGGAGGGTGAGCTCCCTAGCACTCCCTTCCGCCAGGGCGTGCTCCCTATCACTGTCTACCACCAGAGGGCGTTGGGGAGGCTCTGCTGTATTCGGCCTTGTCACCAGGTGCAAGTGTCTAGTACAAAATGACTCAGTACAGCACAACGTACTAAGAACTGATGAACTGGGCTTTACTTTCCCGGGTGTATTATCATTTCTCAGCTGTGTCAGGCCTCAAGTTTGCCTCAGGTTCGTTCTAAAAAATAAGGAGTTTCTTTTAAGGTCTTTGTCTTATGCTATCTCCTCCACAAAGTAGTGATGATGATCTCTTGTGTTGTCATTTAGAATTCTGACTATGGAGTCAGACAGTGCCCTGACGGTTATTTAGAATTTAAAAACAAAAAACAAAAAACCCACAAGTCTATGGTGCTACCAGATAGAGTAAGCAAAGAATGTAGGATTCTTCCATGTTCAGAGAGGTTGCTATAGAAGTAACTAAGAACATGAAAGATCCAATGGCATGACGGTAAAGTCATTTTAGAGCTAACTAGACATTAAACTGTCATATAGGAAGAAAAAAAAAAAAAAGCAAAACCAACAAAAACACTGAAGAGTGTTTACTACAGTCGTGAGGGGAACTGCAAACTTCAGGATCGCAGTTACCTGAAAAGGTGCCACATAGTTTTTTGGGGTAAGGCAACCCAAAAATCATTTGAGATAACATACAGACATCCTTAGGTAAATGTGTTTAAACATTGAAAGAAATTATAAATAAGTAGAATATGAAGTAAATTAAACCTTTGGTGGTAGTATTTTAGGGTTAAGGAATAAGAGGTCTATATTTGATAGTAAGCATCTGAAATGCTCAGGATAATTTAGCTTTTAGAATAACAGATTATTCTGTTATTGTGGTTCCATTTAAATATGTATCATTGAAAAATTAGCATATGCTTGTTCTTTTAAAGCTGAAATCCTACCAAGTTTGAAACATTATTGGAATATCTAATAAGGATTAAAAAACATGTTATTGCATAGAATTCCATCACCAACAAATTTCATTTGTGAGAGAAAGAAAAAAGATCTAACATTATGCTTACTATTACTACTAAGATTCATATTAATATTAGTATCCATTAAACCCAGAGCTTTCATTGTTTTTCAGAAAATTTATGAAACTTCTGCTTTATATCCAGCTTCATTTTCTAACTCGATATAAAAGGATTAGTGAGAAGTGTGTACTCATTTATTCAATACTTCTTCATTCAGTAAACGTTTGCATTCATAGCCTGCAAGACAATAGACTGGCCTCATA